GGTGGACCAGACGTGTTCTGGGCGAGGACAGCTGGACGACTGGTTCCTGCAGCTTGTGATAAAGGAGAAGAGAGCACGAGGAGGCCAAAAGCATCAATGGAAATATGAGAAATGACCATGCACCTATGCATATTCATTCGCGCCTTCCTCGAGTTTTCCTTGCCTGGCCGGGTCCTTCAACGAACGTCGTACTCTGTATCTTACGCATGCTGCAGCTCGAGGCAACAGCTCCTCCTCGTCCATTGCCCCTTGCAAGCCAGTGAACTTTTGTTTTCTCAACCGGTCCCCTGTCGAGTCCCCACCTTTTCCGAGCAGATCGCCCACAGCGGACGAAACGAGGCATAAAAGTTTCTCGCGCTAGAATCCTTCTAGAAGGTCTCCAAGTGTGTGTCGCGCCATTTCTGTGCCTTGCCAGGTGTGTGTGGATGGGGGATTTCATTGGCTCTTCTTATGGCCGCCCTGGTATTTTGTATTTCGCAGGGAAGGGAGGATGGGGGTCACTAGCCAGTGGAGTGAAGAGGGATGAGAGAGTGGGAGAGTGGGATGCATCGATGCTTCATGGCCGACTGGAGCTTTGCTGCTTCCAAACATTGTCAAACGCTGCGAGACGAGCTGTGAGAATGACGAGAGAGCTAACAAGAAGGAGAGCCGGCAACGAAGTCGAGTCGCATCCGTAGGACGGGACTAAGAGGGCCCGTATTATCCGTCGCGGCCTGAGGTTTGCCAGGGAGAAAATGAAAAATAAAAACAAAATAACGAAACAAGCCGTGTCTCGCAGGCTACTGAACAGACTTGCTGGCAGCAAAGGGCAATGTAAGTGTCGAGTGACGGGCGCGACCAGCAGACTCAGTCGAGGTACCTTGTCGTACCACCCGTTTTGCTGGCAGTATCAGGTCACTCTGGGTGCTGCCGGCGGGCTCCGCTGTCTGTTGCTCCTGAACTACTGGGCTGCGGCTGGTCGTCTGCGCGGGCTGCCGGGGGTCTATCGCTGCGCGGAAATGCCAAGTGCCAAAGTGCCAAGACACCTTCTCGCCTCGTCCCCCCTGTCCCCCCCTTTCCCATTTCTCCCCTCCCCTCCCTCACCAAATCCGCTCAGGTGACGTGAAAAAATAGTAAATCTGCAGGAAAAAGGTAAATCGTGCAACAGAAAGTAAAAGGCTGGAGACTCGAGTCCATGTCTCGTCGTGCAAGGCAATGATTGGTCCTTGCATATGCTCATTCGAGAGTTTGTTTTGTTTCTCCGTTGAGTTTTTGCAACCACACACTACGAATTACCGTGTCGAACAGGTCGTCCCAACGTTGCCCTTCCGAGAGTGAGAACAACCAGACAAAGTGAGGTGACAGGCCACAGCTAATGTACTCCGGAGATGCTCTAGGGGCAAAGCGCAAGTTAGAATGGGTGCTCTGTAAGATAGACATGCCACCACAAAAGCACAAAAAGAGAGCTGCCGGCGTCCCCGATGTCGCAATGAGCGAGTACAACAACACAGCTCTCTCTCTTATGGAGTAATGGGCGACAGCGCATTGCAGCACATCGCATATTCTCGCATTGCCCATCCTCCATGGGGAGCCAATGCAAGCCAAAGGAGAATTGGCAACGTGATGTCCTCCCCTCGTCCCACTCTTCTCCTGCTCTCTCCTCTCTTCTCCGTTGGGCGTTTGTTCTCTTGTCCTCGTGGCCTCTGTAGGTGACGGATCTTCAGGACGAAAAGCAAAGTGCGGTGCAGCACCGAGACCCCGGGGCCCAGTGACTGCGGGACGCAGACAGCCAGTGGGAAATTTAATTGAACCCGATTTCGGCAAGGTCAGAAGTCGGTCAGGTCAGCCCCCGTGCCACACTCTCCACTAACACTGGAAAGAGAATATTTTAAAAAGAAAGGGAGAACAGTGAGAAAAGTCGATGGAATTTGACTAGGAATATTGGGGGCATGGGGTCAGAGCAGATTCTTTGTGGCCAGGCATGCTGACAATGAACAAAGAGGGGAAAGGGCAAATTGGCCAGCCGCACATGTTGGCGGCATTGGGCATGGAGGCGGCCATCATTTTCAAGTCATGCGTATCTTTTCCGGGATTTGTTAACAGAGAGCCCGTCTACTTAGCCGTAGTAAGCGAAGACAAGAAGGGACAAAATGCGAGATACCACAAGTTGAGAAGAAAACAAAAATATAAAGGACATACTTCATACGATTGGTTTTCAGAATATGTTTTCAAACTTGTTTTCATTATTGTCTTTCACAGTTCAGATTTTATGCCTGCTCTGTACGGAGTATCTTATGCTCCCACTTTTCGCGAGTTAGCTGCAGTGGAAAATAATTGACTGTCCAACCAGGCCACCCGCAGTCACCATACAACCACTGAAGCGCGCGGGACAGTCTCAAGTAGTTGTCGGTTGGCGACAGGTGGTGGTTGGTTAGTCCCTGAACAACTGAGAGCGCCAGAGCACTAACATGGAAAGGGAACTCCCACCCACCCGCACGCCCCTAAAAGAATGGGATCAGCGTTCTCGTTGACTGGAACATTTTTCTCTCATCTCGCCTTGTTTATGGGGGAGGGGGGATTCACTCGGACGTCAAACGGCGAATACGCATTTTCAAGAAATGGCCCAATGGTCGTGTTAACCTTCAAGGTATCTTAGCCAGGCAGGCAGGATGGCCTGGGCTAGGCAATTGCGACGGGGGGTTTCTTTCGGTACTTTCCCTGTATGGAATGCGTGCGCTGGAGTCTTGACAGAGACAGTGCTCTGCAGGTGGAGCCATGCAAATGGCACGAAAATGAACAAAGCAAAGGGACACAATAAAACTCGGAATGCCAAAACAGAGCGCGACGAGACTGACTGCCAGGGGAGCAGCGACCAACGAAACGAAATGGACCAGGCAAGGATGGAAGGCGCGAGGCGCTGGAGGAGCCTACTGGGAAGGAACCATCGATGGCAGGTGTGGAGAGCGTTCAAAGAGGGGAAGCAAGAAGGGGGCAGAATTAGGAAATGGAAGGGAATGGCGGCGAAGTCGTCGTAGGTGCGTGGGCGTTTAGCCCAGGGCGTTCTTTTCTTTTCTTTTTGTTAAGAAATTGTTTTCACTCCGTGTTGTTTCCCTCGTTCCTCTACCTTATTCGTTTTTCAGCGCAAGCAGACGGAGAACCGTATTTCGAAAGCTCTACTCTGTCTCTATTTCCAGATCGTCCATCCTTCAAAACGGCAACAACGTGCCACCAGCAAGAAACGCCTGGCGTTGGTTGCTCTTTCTTTTAGTTTTTGCCTCCGCCCGCACGCCGCCCTCCGCTCCTTCCCCGGACAGCGACTCTTCTTATTTCTGCCCTTTACCTGACCGGTCCCCCCTTCCCCCCTCCTCTCCCAATTCGCATTACATAAAACCAAACCATTTCGCCCTTTCCTTTACTCACACACAACCTGTCGTCGTCTTTTTTCTTATCTTTCGAAACTCGACAGCAAAAGCACACAATCGCCTTTCTTGCAGCCTTTCGCCGCGACGCTCGCCAGCCCTGTCGCTCTCGCTCTCGCTCTCTCTATTGCCGCTGTTGTCTCGCCCTCTACTACAACGGTGCGGCTCTACCAGCAAATCAGCAAATCCAGTTATCATTACATACCACTTTCCACGCACCCCCCTCCCCTTATCTCTATCTCGAGTCTTGCACCCCCTTTCGCTTGTTCGATTTGTTCCTCGAGTGTTCCTCGAGTGTTCTATTGTTCCTTTTCGCTTACTCTCGTTCCTTTTTCTGTTCGATCCCCCTTTTCCTAGCAGCCGTTTCCAAACGGCCGGGTCGGCCAGGGCCACCTCAATCTTTCCCATCTGCCACCCCCCCTCCCCTACCCGTTGCACATCATCTCTCTCTTGTCGATTGTTGCCAGGCCTCGCTCGGTCTTCTCCGTGTGTAGATTACCCCAGCCAGGCCCCCGTCTTTTATTCCCTTTTTGGGTTGTGGTTCCTGGTGGCTTATTGCGAACGACCGTCAAAAAAAGAAGAGGAAAAGAGTAATCCTCGCCCGGTGCATGGAGATCGCGCCGCCATTTTTATTTCTTTTTTTGCAAGACAGGTACGGCTACGACAACGGCTGCGACTAATTGAATTGCTCCACGGCTTGCGACTAGATCATACAGCACGAATCTTGTTCCGCAAAGCGACTGGAGGGATCAAACAGACATCGTCCCTGCATCTGCAGCCCGTGTTAGTCGTCCGGGACTCGATCAAGACGGCGCACGGAAACAGCTGCGTTCCTGCACACCCCAGTCGCCGCCCCAGCTCGTCAACCGGGGAATAATTAGGGAATATCCCAGATTCAAAAGTGACGCCCAAGTAGAGAACAAAGGCCGCACCAAAGACGGCAAAGCATCGAGCCTCGTATCCCCACGGCTTTGCGACAACACTCGACTCGATTCGCGCACGGCAGCCTTGTTTGCTTTGTTTTACACACCTCTCACCCTCTTTTATTCTTGACACTTTACTCTTGTCTTTATTATTCCTCAAATTTCCCTTCTCTTTCCTGGGCGTTTTGTTTTTGTTTCTTACTCCCTCTCTTCCCTCGCTGCTCTTCCTTTTGCAGACTCCTCTTTCATCCCCCTCTCCTAATATCACGGCAAGACCCACCCCGCAAACTACGCAAACTACGCAAACTACGCAAACTACGTCCCGTGGCGAAAAAAATTATCCAATTCTTTTCCCCCTACCCAGTTTTATTCTCCAGGCTTGGATCTATTCTCTGTGTATTACATTATTGTCGCTCATTCCTGTTACTCAATCGTTTCGGTTTCCTTTCTGGATCTGCTCGCGACACGCTCTCTCTCGTCCACCTTCAGTCGCTTCGACCGGCCACTTCAATCCTCTTAGAGCTTGTCGTCTCGTCGTGGCGGTTTGCTTCGGCTTGTGGCTTACCTCCCATTCGTCCCCTCTCCACTTTCTTCTTCTCAACCCCCCAACACGCTCCGTTCGAGGCGCTTGCCGTCCACCGGCTGAGGCGTCTCGATTCCTGAGGATATGGCAGACACTATGTCCATCGACAACAATGACAACATCAAGCACGACGACTCCGACTCACTAGACTCTGGCGCCGAGGGCGAGCCTTTGTCGGCTGGCGGCGACAACGGCGACAACGGCGCCAACGGCGCCAACGGCGCCAACGGCAACAATGCGCAGGACAGCCAGCCCATCAAGCGCAAGGGCGGCCGCAAGCCCATCTACGCGACGTCCGAGGAGCGCAAGCAGCGCAACCGACAGGCGCAGGCCGCCTTCCGCGAACGCCGCACCGAGTACATCAAACAGCTCGAGGAAACCATTCGCGTCCACGAGCAGAACCTGCACAACCTCCAGACCGCCCACCGCCATGCCGCCGACGAATGTCTGATGCTGCGCTACAAGAACTCGCTGCTTGAGCGCATCCTGCTCGAGAAAGGTAGGTCGCGCCCTGTTCACGTTCACGTTCACGTTCACGTTTGCTCCCTTTGTGCCACGCCGACCCCCTTTCTAACACACCCCTAGGAATTGATGTGCAAGCGGAGCTGCGCGCCAAGACCGGCAGCCCCAACCTGGGCCCTACACACATGCCACAGAATATGGTGCAACCTCCGCCCATGCCACGATCCATCATCAACCGCCACCACGCTCGCCGATCCAATTCCAGCATTGCACCCAAACTCGACGTCACTGGCACGTCCCTGCCAGGAGCGGGCCTGGTCGGCATCAACCCGGGCCACCCAACGCCGACGTCGGTCGTCGCATCGCCAAAGAGTCGGCCCACGCCATCGTCGCACTCTGCGTCACCTGCAGCCTCCACATCTGTCTACGGCCAGTCACCAGCTGCATCCACGTCCGACCCATCCGCTTCGATCCGGTCAGTCATGTCGGCCCCGGCGCCCCCACCACCGCCACCGCCAGCACAGGTACACCAAGCACCACCGGTCCCAGCAGCGGCCGCGATGAAGGCAGCGCAGCTGGGTGGCCCTATCACCGGCATTTCAGGCCCCGTACCACCACGAACGATGCAGCAGCGCCAACGCCAGCACCACGCACAACAGCAGCAGCAGCAGCAGCAACAGCAGCAACAGCAGCAACAGCAGCAGCAACAACAGCAGCCAATACTACAGCACCCGCAGCACCAATTGCCACAACATCAGCAGCTCCCGCAACCGACTCACCCGCAACACCAACATCATCCGCAGCAGCCACCACAGCACCAACAGCAGCACCATCAGCAACAGCATCCACACCACGCACAGCATCCGCAACACACGCAGCACCAGCAGCACCAACAGGCACCTCTGCCGTCACCACAGCCGGCCACGCCACGGTCAGCCAGCGGTGTTGGAGGTGCTCCGTACTACGCGCTGCCCGGGTTCCAGAACCACATCGACCAGCTCGAGCAGGAATACGACGCCGCGGACGACATTATGGAAGACCCGTCCGAGACGCCCGATACCCCCTCGGGCCCCAACCCGTACTCAGCGACCGCCTTCTCGGCAGCGCCGCCACCCCTCAGCCTCGCAAGCCCAGCCACCAGTGTTGCGCCCTCCACGGCCCCTTCCATCAACCTAGGCGCCACCGGTGGCAATGGTGCCGGCGCACCCGGTACGGCTGTGAGCGGTGGCTCGAACGGCTACCCATCAATGACCCAGCTACTCGACCCGGCACTCGACTGGGATCCGTTTGGACTCAGCGCCAGCATGCAGTTTCCGACGCAATTCTCCTTTGACACGAGCAACACCCGATAAAAGACAAAGACAGTTGACGACAGCGAGCGGTAGCGAGCGAAGTGACCCCACATCGATCTTGGCGCAACAGAGCAGCCCCATTTTGCGCTGTTTTCGGCCATTTGATATTATCAGGCGAGCTTCTTTGATACCCGACTAGGCGACTGCGACTGCCCTTTGTGTTTCCATAATAGCTGGGAATACGGTGTGATGCTGTAACTATTATTATTTTGTTCTTAATGTCTACAAAAACATGTTTATTTCAACTTCTGCTACATTTTTTTTTCTTCTCTTTTTGTCTTTACTCTCAGGAGGATAACAGCATTTTTCGGCGACAAATTATACCACACAGGAAAAACACATATATGGACGGGGTGGACTTTTGAATTCACTGCGCTGATTGGAGTTCTAAAACACATCATTTTTCGGGAGGACATCTTTGTTTCTGGTTTTTTGTTTGGGGTTTTTTACAAAAGTTATTTCCATGACTCGTTATCTTTTTTTCTTCCGTTTTCTCTTATTTCTGGTGTCTCGTGTTTTGGTTGCATGGTTTGCGTCTTCTTTTATGATCTTGACATTGTTTTGCGGCGAAAATGAAAAGGATTTGACAGCCCGCTTTCTGGATATGGCAAATGAATGATGTTTGTTTCTAGCCTTTTGTCTGGTCTTTCTGGTTCGGCATTGCGACGCGTGTTTATTGCGACCAGAGAGCAAAACAAGAGGCAGTTCCTCCAGAAATATATACTATATACTATCATAGAACAGATTATGAGTGGTACATTTATCAGCGGGCGGGATGCACAGGTGTCAATATTGGTTGAGGTGAACGTCGAACTTGCCTACTGATGACCGTCCAAGCTGTCGTGTCCCATGAAAGCGGTCAAAAGACACAACTCACAAGGGCCATGCCAGGCACGCCCAGGGACAGCCAGGCGACGAGATGGGGTTGCCAGCGGCTCCTGAGACGTCTTACGTTTCACACTAGATAAGGAAAGTGGTCACGTTGCCAATTTCTGTTTTCTGTCACTCGACTCGCATACGTCGGGCATCGAACCTCAAGCTTGGTCTCCTAGCCGCCTCCATCATCCATCCCCCGCATCCGAACCACCAATTATGTAACAGCGCAAGGGTGGTGTGGGCGAAGAGCCAACGTGGACCAAGCGGATGGGAGTGCGTAGCTACGGGTAGATGTGAGTCCCATCGAACACCTTTGGGTTTCGATGCGGTCGGGTGTAGACAGGAGTGCAAGAAGGCACAAAAATCGACGCTATTACGTACAATACCTTGTGCCCCCAAGACCATGAGGCTGAACCCAAAGTATTTGCGGCGTGCACTCGTCGTGTTAGCCGCCTTAAGGGCGATATTTCAAATTTGAATAGATACAATTCTATCAAAAACCATCGTCTTTTTACTAATTGAATCCATGTGTTTTGTAAGGTTGCTTTTTGGACGTTGTCAAGGTTCGTCATAAATTCCATACACACCCTTCGCGGCTAGGTTGCACGAAAGGACTCGAAATTGGCTGGCAGAGGGACGGACAATGGTCCCGTAAGGAATAATAGAAACTCTTTGTGTAAGTGAATATTTTGTGTTACATGGTGCTCGGTCTCGCAAAAACGCATACACAGCTAAGAAAAAAACAATGAAAACCAACGCAGTGGATAACATCCCGAGTCGTACAAAGAGAGCCAGGGACGCAGGGCTGCAAGGCTGGGCGTGGGCTCCGCGGAGCCTTGCTATTCATTCACTTTTGTTGCGAAGCAGCCTTATAAAAATTGGAATGCATTTCATAGGCTTCTGTGCTGGTATGAGCTGTATATTATTTATGCTTGTACATCTTTGCCTGATTTTGGCAATCACATCGGCGCTTTATCGATGCGGAACGTACACAAATCAGTTGGTCCTCGTTTGCCACGCCCCGTCGCCAGTAGGTCGGTGGTATACAGTGAACAGAATATAATAAAGAGTATATAGAAGTCTTTGTCAAATCGAGGCTCAGGTTGAGACTACCTGTTTGTGTTGCGAGTCTCAGGTGCCAGGTAACACAAACCGAATTTTGTGGGACCGAGGCTATCAACATCACCACTTTGTTCACCCATGCTTTCAGAGGCACTCGACCAAGACCTGCGTCATGGATTTTGTGCATTCACTCTATATTTTTAAATACACATATTAAGCGGAATGGCAATAAAAATACACTTTGTAGCCTGCTAGATGTCCGCTTCGGTTTGGTGATTTCGTAGATATTTGGGTTTCTAGATCCCGGCATCACCTGAGTATCAACATCCGGGTGTATCACCTTGTCACTATCCGTGACTCACCACCTTTGCGTGCTCCATTCGTCTATCGTTGTCATGTTTCATACAGGCAAAGAAACGTATGCTTTTCTCAGATAGACGGCGTATTGAGATGTCGTCTTCTTTTGATCCTTGTGCACCGCGCGATCCTTCACCTTCACACGATGCCCTCATGATATTCAACTACCTGCCTCATGTACTTTGATATTTGTTATTATTCACTTTCAGGTCAGTTCAACACAATCTTCCGCTTTACCACGAGGCTGCATCTACAACTCACGTCGTACCAACTGTATTTTTGGAACCTCAATGGATCACGGCTTGCCATACGATACTCGACGACAACCATCGCACCTTCCGCACCTGGTGAATCGTCCCTTCCCTTTTCAGAATACCTTCAAGTGACAACGTTTATTCACCGCATTCGAAGGTATCTGCAAGCCCTCCCGGATATCTATATATAACTGGCCATGCCCACTCCGACGCAAATTCTTGTTTTGTTTTTTCTCTCCCTGTCACCAACATCGTCTTTTGCGAACTGTGCTTGCTTGTCCTTCAAGACCAGGCTCACGAAGCAAAACAAGACTCCGACAACTTCAAATTTCGTCTTCCAAGGAGGTCAGTTCTGTCTCCTCGCCCAGCTGCTTCACAACACAGCCGCCATCTCCTTCTTCTTCCTCTTTGTCTCTACGGCATGCTAACATATGCATCCAGAACTGATATCAGCGAGAAGCATGTTCTCTGATCAAGCAGCCGCCGCTCCGTCGGAGAAGGTGAATAGCCAGAAGGAAAACATCGGCATCTTGAGCTCAAACAATTGGAGCGCGGCCAATACCAGCGTGATGTCGAAAATCCTTGCTCCTGGACAAAACAACACTGCTGGTGACATCCAACCCGCTGCTCTGATGGACATCACAAACACTGCATCTGATCAACAGCCCGTCAGTCAAACCAACTGGAGCATGGACGTCCATGACGACTTGGACAATGAAGGTGCTTTTATGCACATGTGTGAGGAGGAGCTGACCGGAGCCTCCGACCTGGAAAATCTTCGTGGCGCTCGCAACCGCCTCTGGGGTGCTGAGATCGACCAGCGTTTCGACAGCGCGGTGTTTGGTCACGTCGAGGGTGTCCATCTCCAGGTGCCCATGCCTGTCACAGCCATTGTCGCCAAACACAAATCCACCGCTGCGAACATCGCCGCGTCCGCACGGGCCGCCACCCATGCAAACACGGTCACAGACGTCGCTTGCAACATGGCCCGCCGAGTCACTACCTCGACCCACCTGGCCAACGCTGACGTCCTCGCTCGCTTCATCCACGGGAGCACGCGCGCACCTGGCCAGCTCTATTCGTGGGTCACCTCGGGCTTTTCTTCGCCGGGCGTCAGCTCCGGCTCGGACAACGCCAATACCGCGTCCTACTTTAGCATCCACGACCAGAGCGTTTTCCGACCCTCCGTCTGCGGCACGCCGCTCAGCACGCTGCCCACCCAGATGGGAACCCCGCTTACTTCGCTGTCGCCAGCCCTCTACAGCACGCCGCCCACGAGCTATAACAGCTCGCCCAATGCGTCTTCTACCAACGTGGCGTCGACCGAGCATGGAACAATGGACCCTGGTGACTACCAGACTATGACTGGGGGTACTCTGTTTGAGCGTGGTCCTGACGGTGTCGTCGTGTCGGTTGCACCTTTCAGCGTGGACGCTGCAGGTCGTGAGAATGGGCAAGTTGCTCGCATTCAGGACAATGACGAGGACGGCTACGAAATGGTCTTTGTTATGGACGGAGAGGCCACGCCCTCCCAGAATCCTCGCGGCCAGGATCAGGATGTCATGGACGGAACTTTCTGCGTTCTTGATGCAGTTCCCTCGATCAACACCGGCCCCTGATCCTGCTCTCCATACGAAAAGCTTTGGTATGGAAGCCGCAGAAACGAGGACCCTACATCGTCTTGGCAAACAGCGGGCATCTTGCACAACAAAACCTCATGTATAACGAGAAAAGGCGCAGGAAACTTTAGCCATGTATACGGGAAAGGGAAAGAACAAACGCGGGATCTTCAATGGTCTTGTGTTTTACCTGGACGTTGAAGGAAATGTGGCGTAGACGTGAACGGACTCTGGCCTGTGGTGTTCCGGTTTTATTGATACCCTGGGATGTGCATTTCTACATGTGTTTACTTTTAATTTCTGCTAGCCTTTTCATATTCTTTCAAACAACTCTCTCTCCATCTCTCACACAAATTGAATTTCTCGTAACAGTTTAAGTGATATGTTTATTGTACGCAGTCAAGGATTCATGACAGTGATGCAAGTACCAAGTTTACATTCTTTTCACCAAGGATGGAAGGCCTCATAAATGTGTCATGAAAAATGTACATGGGATCTGATGTAGACCCCGTAATGGTCAGTAGCTGTGCATGTAACAAGAGGCAATTTGATATGTTGACCTGAAAGGACCTGCATACCAAGCTTGAGACTGTGTCACTCAACGATTCTTGTGTGTTATTGTGCCTGCATGAAATGATTCAGGACAGTCTAGAAATGGCACAGGCAAGCATCCGTATACACCCACGAAAGAAGCAAACTACCAGAGGCATCAAACTCGGGCCCAGGAGACTCGTAACGTTTGGTTGTGTCAGCCGAGCTACACCGATGCATGCTGAGATCGAATGATGCCACCAAATCAAGTACAATATAAGTTTATAATTGAACCGACCTGATAAACGTCTCGTCTATTTCGCACTTGAAGCAAATATACATGTACATATGTATATATGTGTGTGTGTGTGCATTTACCAAAGAGAAAATGTGTTTTGCTGTTGTTCAATGCTCAAACATAACCACGTAACGTTCTGTTCACGTGATTTACAGTGCTAATTACAGTGCATAACATATCCAGCACTGCGTCTTTTGAAGCCCTAACTGCGGACTAAGCATACGGGCTAGGGAGAGCCCACACACAAAATATCTTGTGGGGTAATTGCTTTTTTGCTGTCGGAATTGGGATAGCTCCGGCTGCATGGGGGAAGCTCGACCCGCGGCTTGAAGGATGACGAGCAGCAAGTATCACAGAACAAGGCAGTCGCGGCTACGTACGACAGGGGCCTGCTTGCTCCATTGAGATTGGCAAAGACGACTTTGGAGACGATCGTTCTTTCCACACGTTGTGCTTTCCTTTGTTCTGGTGATATTGGCCGAAGGAATACATTGGGAAGGACCGCACTGTCCGTGTGTCGTAGTAAATGCTTCGCTCCAAAAAGGAAAGCACACTTTATTAGAGACCAGTAGTACAGGAATGGGCTCAATTCCTTTGCTCGTCGCAAGGACGGACTTTACGGTCGAGGAAACGGACCGGCACCCGCGTCTCTGATTATCGAGTCAGCGGAGACCCAAGCAAAAGACGAGCCTCGTTTTGGCAACATGCAATGGGGTTCGAGTCGCACGTTCTTTCCTTCCGCAGTTGGCTCCGCACCTGCCCCATTTCTCAACATCGTGGCTGGCCGCTTGCAGAAGGTACGGAGGGAGTACTTGCCTTGGTATCTCGACATGTAATTTTCCGCCATAGTCACGCAAAGTGGGTACATCCAGACGGACCTGTGGCTTGTTTCTCGTCTGAAAAACAGTTCCTTCTCCAATGGGCGGGTTTTCACCTTTTTTTCTTGCTCCTGCTATTTTTTTGCTAGTCGCTTCCCGCTGTACCATTTCCCCAATTCTTTTTGCGCAAACTTTAATTGGTTTATTGCGTTTTGTTAGATCCATTTCCCACTTGCCTACCTTTTTTCTCATACTCGCTTTTTTCTTCCTCCTTCCCTCTCGCTCTCTTCCCCTTCTTTTCTTCCCTCCCCCCTCCTGTCCGAAGCCTCTTCTCGCCTCTTCGCATCGACGAAACCAACGTCTCTCACTCCGAACCACCAAACCCATTGTTGCGATTTCGATTTCGCCTTTTTTGAAAGGCGAACCAGGCCAAGGCGACAACAATGTCTGTCGCCTCGAAGGTGCGTTGCTTTTTTTTTTTTTTTTTTTTTTTGTGAAGCCAGTGTCGTATCTCGCCGCCGTATCTTCGCGTCTATCACCGCCCATGCAATCCGACCAGTGGACTCCTTTGGCCCTCGGCTCGACTTGCACAACCGATGGCCCTTCGCCTGGGTCGCCTTTCTGCGGCCGGAGAACGGCTCGATCATGATACCGACCTTCGGCCACCAGTCTCGCCGGCGTTTGCGCTTCGCCATCTGCCATCGCGACGCTGCCCCGGCCGCCGGCGACTCTGCGCGACATCGCCTACCGACAAGCCGACAACCTGGCATCCGGCCAATGTTACAAGACGCCGCCGTGTCGCCAGCGGCTACAGCTCGTGCTGTGAACGACCGGCGGGGTTTAGAGTGTCGGTTGGCGATGTCGAGTCATCGGAGTTTGCACCACCCAACGATCCTCGACTTCTGACCTCGGCTTCACTTGGACCCTTACCCCGTTGCGCAGGATGCTAACTCGGTTGCTCTCCAGAACCCGTACGACCTCCTCGGTAAGAAATTTTGCTCGCCAATTCTATACAGATACACTCCCGCTCCCTGATCGGGGATGTTCCCGGGCGAGTCCCCTCTCCTACTCGGTGACCTGTTGAGCCACAAAGGGTCGTGCTTCCAGCGTCCTCGAGCAATTTCGACACCGTGGCGCGATTCCACAAACAGCTGGCAACGAGAGGAGGAGCTTGGGCCATCTACCGAACCGGGGGGCGCGGTCCACAACACGCCCATTATCTATGGCACTCGCTCACCGCCATATGACATATGACCCGACAATGACAACAACGAGCAATGCTAACCTAATGTCTTCTTCTTGCTACAGGCAACGAGGATGGTGATGCCGCCGCTGCTGCTCCGGTGAAGACCGCCAAGGCCGACGCTAAGGCCCCGGCCCGTCGTACTGGTGCTTCCGGCAACGAGGCCGGTACGTAGTAGCCCTAACCTGGCTGCTTGTCATATCCTACCGGCAGGTACACGTGCACGTGCTTTGTGCGTTGACTGACATTCTCTGCAGCTTTCCGCGACCGCAACGCTGGTGCTGACCGCAACCGGAACAAGCCCACTGACGAGGCTTCCCGTGGTGGTGCCCGTGGTGGCTCGGCTGCCCGCGTCCGCGGCGGCCGTGGCGGCCGCTTCCCGCGCGACCGTGACGACCGCCACTCCAAGGGTCTGCCTGGGTACGTCAACAATGCACTTGCTGCCTTGTCCATCCCGCATTGCTAATATATGTCGTTTCACAGCGCAACGGAGAAGCACGCCGGCGGTAACACCGAGGGCGAGTCCGAGAAGCGCGACGAGGAGGCCGGCGAGGCCATCGCCAAGTCCGACGAGAAGGCTGCCGCCAACGAGGACGCCGCTCCCGAGGAGGAGGCCGAGCCCGAGGAGAAGCAGCTCTCCTACGACGACTACCTCGCCCAGCAGGCCGAGAAGAAGCTGGCCATTGACGGCCCGCTGGCCGTCCGCCAGGCCAACGAGGGCACCAAGACCAACAAGCAGTGGGCCGCTGCCAAGGCCCTGGTCAAGGACGACGACGAGGATTTCATTGCCGGCGGCGGCGGCAAGACGAAGCGCGAGCGTGAGCGCAAGGTCAAGCAGGTCGTCGAGATCGACCAGCGCTTCGTCGAGCAGCCCGAGCGCACCCGCGGCGGCTTCCGCGGCGGCCGTGGTGGCCGTGGCGGCGACCGTGGCGACCGCAGCGAGCGCCCTGAGCGCGGCGACCGTGCCGAGCGCGGCGACCGTGCCGAGCGTGGCGACCGCCCTGGCCGTGGCGGTCCCCGTGGCGGCCCCCGTGGTGGTGCCCGCGGCCGTGGCGAGCCCCGTGGTGCGCCCCGTGGCGGTGCTCCCCGTGGCGCTCCCCGTGGTGGTGCGAATCTCAACCCCAAGGACGAGAGCGCCTTCCCCAGCCTGGGCAGCTAGGTGCGCTGCACCCCTCTTACCCAGCGCCATATACGGGGACGTGCAGAGGCGGTTGTGTTGTGGAATCCGGAGGGCTCTGGCTTCTCACCCCGGGGGGTGGGTAAAAGCCCATATTTTGAATGACTTTGCTATTTTGAGGTCCCTCTTTCTACGAGGGCCATGTAATAGGCACCTCCCGGTTTCCTTTCACCTCTTTCCTTGTTGGGTCCCCCGTATCGAACGACCTCTTATAACCGAGAGCGCGTTTATTGCTTGCACAACAAAAACCAAACCAAAATATGAGTGAAGAAAACAAAATACGAAACGAAAAAGAGAGAGCAGGGAGGGGACAACAAAAGAAGAAGAAAAGGATTATATATATTTATCTGCCCTTTTTTGTGTTTTCTTTTTATGCAAAGGCGACTAGTCGGATCAATCTCTTTCTTTTTTTATTTCAAATGTACCTAGGAAAAGAAAATGGGAATTATGGATGGAGGATGGGCTCTGTGTATTGTGTTTTTTATCTTTATCTTTTCATTTTCTATGCCGCGTTTTCTTTTTTTCTTTTCCGGTTCCATTGTGAGGAAAGAGGTTCGGTGTAAAGTCGACGGAATATAAGAAAAATGCTCCCCATCCCATCAACAGCGTTATGTCCTATATATCAGGGTTTCTTGCGCTTACATTTTGTGGCTCTTCTTCATTCAACGTCACTTTTATTCCAAGAAACTATACAAACGAATACCAAACAAAAATAGTAGTTCAAAACGAAACAAAATAAATTGAAACAATATCGAGCCAAAATAGATTGTTAAACGGGATTTAAAAAATAATAGTACACTTGTTTTAAAAGAGATAATATGAATAAGAAACCAACAATAATAACAACTTTCCTTTCTTATTTTCATTTTTATTTTTTAAAAAAAACTTCAATTGTTACTCATACCTTTGTTTCATTCGCAAATGGACTTTTTTCATTGGCTTTCTTACCCTTTGTGAACAACATCTTCGCGCATAAGTGCACGACTGTCAATGATTTCACAACAAAGGCACACGACCCGAACAACTGACCTGTACAGCGAGCGTTTATTGTTGCAGATTCAAATACGACCAAGACCCCCAGACAAGTGCCTTTGTTTTGGTTTTGGTTTTATTTCTTCTGTTTTCTTCTGTTAATTTCTCTTCTTTCCGTACCTATTTTTGATTTTTTCTTTTCATTTACTCGGTTTCGCTCTGGGATCCTTGAGCAGCAAATTGATGTGGACGATATTCTCTCAAGAATTCGAATAGAGGCTGACAAGGCTACGGATTTCTCATCTATTTGCTCTTGATAGAATGGGTATCGCCCTCAGCACGGCTAGTCAAGCACTGGCAGCAGCAACAGCGGTGGTGTACATGGCTGCCGGGCGCACGTTGGATGATCCAAGACTGTACAGCTGCCGCCACTTCTTGCGGACTCTGACAACGCCCTTCCACCAACGTCTCTCAGCCATGCTCATGGCACGCAGAAAGTTGGACAAGGCCCTCGCCGTTGTCAATGACAAGACAGAATCTCCCAACGTCACCACCGAAGGCGACTATTTCCCGTCGGCCCATTCTCCGACGGCTGTCCCGCCTGCTCCTCTCATTCCCTTGGACGCTGTCACGCGAGCCTGGGTAGACGAGCGTACTGCCCAGCTGGCCGAGGCGAGAGCGCAACACGTTCTGTCCAGGCCACTTCGGGTGGACGACGCAGTATCATGGATCGAGGGCAGTCAGAGACGACAGCGACCGCTCATGGCTATGCCATCCTATGTATTGGCCACCGAGAAAGAGTATCCACGCAGCGGATTGTGGAATGACGAGGTTGCCTGGAGCGGGACCCAAGGCTTGTGAATACAATGTATGCCATGCACTTTATGGTCATGTCCACGTTCACTCAAAACAAAAGCAACACACTTTGGTGTTGGTTGGGATGAGCCGTGTATCATTCTCCTTATGTACAAACAAATTAGGGTGCAGAGACGGAGGAAAAGTGGACACTGGATAGAAAATAAGAATGCGAACAAGAAAATCAAACAAACGTAAACGCCCCATCGCTTTCATGAAAAATACTATATGCAGGATACGGAAAACAAACGTTTGGCCAACACAGACAACACAGCCAGCAACTATTGTAGAGTGCTGGTCTACCGCTTCCGTTTCTGAAACGTGCGTGCGGCATCAATACCAAGACTCGCAAGCAACAGCAGCGCGTTGAAGACGGCCATCATATAAAAGGGCGCGCCCCGCGACCAGTGGTCGAACAAGTAGCCGCCCAGCTTGGTGAGCAGGAGAATGGCAGCGCCTCCACACCAGGAGTAGACGCCCGCAATGGAGCCCTTGAGCTGGATGCGCGAGGGGACGTCCGCGGTGCCAGGAGGTGGCGTGCTGCTGTTGGAGGCGGTGGTCGCACCGGCGGGTCGCGTCAGTGCGGAAAGGGCGCGCGCGCGACCGTAGCGGCGGACGGACTGTGGCGACGCCATGAGCTCTCGAACCGTATCCCGATCGCTGTCGTCGGCGACATCGCCACCCTCGTCGTTGGCCGAGTCGTTCCCGCCGGCCACGAGCAGGGGTGCAGCTTCGGGCGCGTCGTCCTCGCGGTTGGGAGCGGCATAGTCACTGTACAAAGAACGCTCCTGCTCCTGTTCCTGACTCTCACCATCGAGCACCGGCCGCGAGGCCAACGGTTGCGCGGACAGCACGCCACGGCCGAGCGAGCCGAGACTGCACACAATGGCACCGATCTGGCTGATACCAATGAGCGTGGCCACGACAAATACGGCGGGCGTGCCGCCGCGGCCATCGACGTTGTTCGGTTCCGGGCTCGACAGGAGCGGGAAGGCGATGTAGCCGACCATGCCAAACGTGGTGGCGACAATCAGCGGCACATTGAGGCGGCCCGGCCGGCTGGACAGGTAGCCAAAGAGGGGTGCGCACAGCAGGCCCATGAGCTGGGCCACGCCGGTCAGAATGGCGGCCAGGACGTAAGCGGCGCGGCATTCCTTCTTCAGCTCGGGCGACGGGTCGTTGGGCGAGCCCTGGCAGAAGCCATTGCTGATGAAGAACGCGTTGATGAACAGGGGCATGAACAGCGAGATGGCCACGGTGGACGCGCGTGCCACAAAGCCGCCGAGGTAGCCGAGGGCGATGTTGGCATCCGTACACCCGAGCCCGACCGAGTCGCGCAGCAGGCGCCAGTACGGCACGGCATCGCCAGGCGCGCCTGGCCCTGCTTTTCCTGCCCCCGGGCCTTCGGCGATGACGTCCTCCATGCGCACAATTTCGTCCCGCCGCGCAGCGGCTTCTGGCGACGTCGCATTGGGCCGGCCCAGAAGCATGCGCCAGCCCTTGCCGTCTTCGCCGCGCAGGTGGCGCAGGCCGACAAAGACAAAGCCAGCTACAAGCAGAGCGACGGCGGCCACGACATAAAAGCTGTCGGCCACCGCCTCCGCCATGGTCACGCCGTCCTTGCGGCCAAACTCGGCGGGCAGTGGCAGGAACAGGCTCAGCGCCACAAGAGCGCCGCAGCCGGTGAACAGGCCAACGAAGCCGGCTAGCTTGGACGGCTTTTCAGCGCTGTGGTCCTGGTTTTGGACGGCATCGTCGCCATCTCCGCCCATGGCTGACGCTGCCGACAGCGTGCTGTTGCGGTGGCCCTGGTCGGGCGCGTTCAGACGGGATCGCAACAGGCTTTCGGCAAAGCGTTCCGGGGTGATGGTCAGCTGCGACTCGAAGGAGAGGGTGCTTTCGCGTTGGCTGCGGCGTGCCGTTGCAGCGGAGGCACTGTGCGAGGTATTGGCAGCGTTGCCCGTGGTGCTGTTGTCCGTGGCCGGATCGGAGTCGTCCGTCAGCGAAGGAAGAATGGCTGTGACCATGGTCGTTCTAATTTTTTTTATTAGCACAAGAGCACATGTTAGTGACGATACACGGTGGCAGCAATGGGGAAGATCAGCCAACGTACGACGCTGTAGCACCCATGGCAAAGAGGATGCGGGCCAGCAGCAGCTGCGGGTAGACATTGGTGGCCTGCACCGAGAGCACGAGGGCCAGGGCAATGACCGTGTAGCCGATGACGGCCACGAGGCGGACGCCCAGTCGGTCGGAGACGAGGCCCCAGACGGGGCAGGCCACCAGGGCCACCAGCTCGTCGGCGAAGCCGAGCGTGCCGACAATGTTGCCGACGCCTTCCTTGACGCCGATGCGGTCGGTGATGACAAAGGAAATACTGCTGTTGAGGAAGACGAGGAACGAAATGGAGAAGAGCGAGATGCCCAGCAGGTAGGTTGCGGCCTGCAGTGGCGTCGTCGTGTGCGCAAAGGGTAGACGGCGCATCACAGACCGGGCGAGCTGCGCGATGGAGGGCGCCATGCTGGGGGAGAGATGTGTCTGATGATGGTATTTGCGTTTAATCGTGTCGTTTGTTTCTTTGTTTTCGTCTTTTCTGTCTTTCTTTCTTTTCTTTTCGTCTGCAGTCGTCGGATCGGCCCACGACGCGCTGTCCAATCCCAAACGCAGTACACGATCGTATGACGAACGCACTTTATCGTGTCCCTGCGGCCTGGGCGTCGAACAATCGCATTGTTGAAGATCCGCAGTTCTTCGACTCTGTTGTTTCTCTTTAGGTGGTACGTGACATATGACAAAATAGTTCTTCTCGACTCTTTTGTTTGAGGTACCGACCACTCTCCAGTCGTGCCTTCTGTGCTCGAGTGAGCTCCTTCCCCGGCCGAGACACCAGTTCCTGCCGAAGAGAGCTACGACTGCTTAGTCACTTTTACGTGTTTTGCGTCGGCATTTGGTGCAGTTGGCATGGGCGTGCGGGGGCTGGCGAAGGCCTGTAATTGGGCCCTGTCAGGCCCCGAAAAATAATAAACGTGGCGGGACCTTGTGAGTTTTTCAGAGCGCGCCCAGCGTCCTCAGCTGGTTACCGTAGCTGAGACGCTGGCCGACGTCGGAAAGTGAAAAGAGGGAAAGAGCGATCACACTGCACCAAAACAGGCCCCACCCACTGTGCACAACGCTGTGATGCATTTGTTTGTATGTTGTACTTTGCACAATGAACGTGGCGCACAAAACTGACCGCCTTGAGATGGGGGAATGGGGAAGGTGCGCTCGGTTATATCTAGTCTCTGGCGGGTTCAGCATTTGTGCCTGGATTCGGGCCTTCCGCATTCAATAGCGTAATTGTCGCCTGTAGCGGCCTGTTGCGGCTATGTGGTTAGTCGCGGGATATGGACGGCCAAAAAAAAAAAAAAAAAAAAAGAGAAAACAAAGTGAAAATAGGAGGACTTCAAAAGAGGTTCTGATAGCAAACCGCCATTCGCTAATCGCCAGCCTCACCGCTCGGATAACGGCGTTTCGTACGTCGTAGAGCACCCACGTTCGCTTCTTATCTACGGGGTATTTGGATTTTGAGTTTTGGCGGGGCATCGAGCTGATTGTGGCAGCACGAGACTCCGGACGCGCCCTTCTGACTGGATCCTTGACTCACCTGCGCTTCATTCACGCCTCACACCGCAGAGACTACCATGTCGGCCTCTTTGCCTGGCAGCCGCGAGCTGCCAGCATCGCAGTATGATCTCACCACATACTGGGGACGGGTGCAGCACACGGCGGGGATCACAGACCCAAGGTGAGTCCGATGCAAAAGCTTGCGATACCAGGCACAGGCAACCGACCGTTTTACTAACAGGACAGGACGCTGCTTGTCGGCCGGACGGGGCTGGAGCAGGCCAAGAAGGCCATTGTGGCCTACAAGCAGGGCGAGGTCAAGGAGATGACGCCGCAGCTGTGGAAGGCCAAGAAGATTGTGGACGCGACGCTGCATCCGGACACGGGCGAGCCGGTGATGCTGCCGTTCCGCATGTCGGCATTTGTGCTGTCCAACCTGGTCGTCACGGCCGGTATGCTGACGCCGGGGCTGGGGGTGAGTCGAGAGACAGAACGGCGAAGCGATGCACATGCGTGGGATGAAATAAACGTACTGACGATTTTTGCATTTTGCAGACCGCCGGCACGATCCTCTGGCAGATTGCCAACCAGTCACTCAATGTAGCCATCAACAACGCCAACGCCAACAAGTCCACGCCGCTGTCGTACGGCAAACTGGCGCAGTCCTACTGCCTGGCCGTCGGCGCCTCGTGCTCGGTGGCCGTCGGCCTCAACAGCCTCGTGCCCCGCCTCACGCGCCTGTCGCCGGCCACCCGCCTCGTGCTCGGCCGCCTCGTACCGTTTGCCGCCGTCGCCAGCGCCGGCGCCCTCAACGTCTTCTTGATGCGCGGCGAGGAGATGCGCACGGGCATCGACGTCTACCCCGTCGGCCGCGGCGACGAGAAGGCCGCTTCGCTCGGCCGCAGCAAGACGGCGGCCACCCTTGCGGTCGGCGAGACGGCCCTGTCGCGCGTGCTCAACAGCTCGCCCATTATGGTGATCCCGCCGCTGGTGCTCGTGCGGCTGCAGCGCACCCGCTGGCTCAAGCAGCGGCCGCAGCTGACGACGCCCGTGAACCTGGGCCTCATCCTGGTGACGAGCTACGCGGTGCTGCCGCTGGCGCTGGCGGCGTTCCCGCAGCAGCAAAAGATTGCGGCAGACTCGCTGGAGCCCGAGTTCCACGGCCGGGGCGGCGTCGGCGGTCTTGTGGAGTTCAACCGGGGTATTTGAGGGGCATGGGCAAATCAGGCCGGATGCCGGATATTGGAAACATGGCGGGAGCGAGACAAAGGCAGCGTGTTCTTTTTGTGTTTGTTTTTTCCAGTTTCGTTCTTTTCATGCATCTGTTCCACACAGAGCGAATGAGAACCATACATTGCGAAGCATTGCGAAGCATTGCTTTTCTTTACTTTATTTCACTGTACCTGTTTGCGCCGGCTTGAGCATATTTGAAATACAATACAATCTTTGCTAGACACGACGATGGGACGAACCTGGGCTTATATTAATATTCCAGTGTATGACTATATCAGCACGTCCAACTCCCAGACAGGGGATCCGTACTCAAATTTGCTGGAGACGTTTGATCCCAGAAAGAAAGCAGACCGATCCATCAATCTCACACACAAACAGGACATGCACGCACAAGACTTCTGGAAGATCGACGCTCCGTTCATCTTGCGGCGATCCAAGGGAGGTTAAAAGGGGGCCGCGACCGATATCAAAAACGTTTTGGTACGGACAAGAAAAAGATTGAGAACGAGACGAAACGGCTCAGACCCTGGAAGAGTACATGCATGTACTGTGTGCGGAGCTTGACCAGGGGTGGCAGACATACCCAGACGTTTTCAGCCGTTCCTTTTCCAGTTTGGGGCCATGGCAGGACTATACTAACCGTGAAGGAATTTACTCGGCAAGGAACGACCTTTGGAGACAAACAGGGACGCCAAAGGCAACTCGTTACAGGCAATACTTGACGTACTCCATCACCACAAAACCATTGTTCCCGCAAAGGGTGTTGTGCCTGGCCTTGCCATTCGCCAGACGCGGCATCACACGGCGGCAAAAAAGGGGAGGGAACAATAGTCCGCTGAAATAAGATGGAGGACCCTGGCGAGCCTGGGCAAGGCAGCAAAAACACGGAGGAACGAGTCGCATCTGAGGCGTGCCATTCTTCTTACGTGTGGCCGCGACTGGGGAGACGAGGGGGACCCGGGCCAGGGTTTGGGACGCCCAACACGTGGCATAGGCGGCGCGGTGGAAGATGAAGAGGAGGGAGACGGTGAACAAGACGCGAAAGAAAGGGGCCATCCTCGAGGCACCAGGCACGCTTCCTTCACGAAGAGTGCGAGAGGCAGAGGAGCAAGAGCAGGGAAGATACGGATGGGCCTGGCCGGCTTTTGCTCCTCTGCTCCTGTCTCGCGCACTGACTCGTTCCAAGCAAGACGGAAGACGGACATGCAAGTGTACATTAAAACCGACATGCCAACACAGTGAATCAGGATAAGATACGTCGAGTCTCAGCGCTTCTGGGTGCCAATGGCGAAAAACGTGACGCCAAGAGAGGTGGAGGGACGTTGACGCATGCCGACGCAATGGGAGGCACCCGCTGATTCTGATTCTGATTCTGATTCTGATTCTGATTTGGCAATATTGGCTGTCTCGATCGAGACGAGCAGCGCCGTCCATCGGCCCTGTCGGCGTTTCTGTGATGAAGCAAGCGAAGATGAGGTAAAGAAGGCTGGAAGCGCGTGAAGACACTGTGAACGCCTGACGGAGCGATGCTATGGCCTTGCCGTTGCTTCGTCGGGTTCCTTTGACTTGATTTGCCCCTACCAGCGAGCCCGGATCTGCATTTTTCAGACCTTTTAGACCTTGTTTTCCAGCTCTCTTCTCCCCTTCGTCACATCCATTGACACGTTGACCCAGTGCAGTCGCTTTTGTCTCGTCTGACGCGGCACAAAAGCAGAAACGAGCAATCAACTTGCTCTGCTTCCGAGATTGAAAGGAGGGACGCGCAAGAACAAAAATGGCTCAGCAAACCACCAGACTAACAGGCGATATTAATATCAGGATAAGCAGACGACCGGCCGCTGAAGATTGAGGAAATAAGAAATATTCCGACACAGTTTGAATTCTGAAGCACAAAATACAGCGTGGAGCAGCACTGACCGAACACCGCCCTGAACGCTGCCCTGGGATTGACCTGGAACTGATCTGATACAGGGCACATTCGGTACTATCAGACGGGCGTTGTTACCAAATTGGAGCATCCCTCCTCAAGACTAGTGCTCTCTCAACACGAGTGACTTTTTCGCGTCTCGAATTCTCCCCTGCCAGCACGGCAAAGAGACGACGAGCTCTCATCGTATTTGTGTTTCCCATCCTCTCACCAACCCTTGCATTCCCGTATCGTTGAAGCAGTGGACGACGTATCGTCCCTCATGTTCTATATTGTGTCTTGCCGGCCGTTCTTCCCATATCTGGCAGTCTCGCTGTCACAGTGTCTGGCGCCTTGCCTTTGCGGCACCCTGCAGCGCGCTGCGTTTTTATCCATTAAACCCCCGGCTCCTCTTGCCTTGCATGCAGCGCTACGCTAGGGCGGCTCGAGGGAACCACTTTTGCGGAGTCGGGTGGCACTTTATGTTCCTGCTCGACGCCTACCACCTCTCCACCACTTTGGCTCCGAGGAGACGGCCAAAGTCTGTTGAGGGAGTGTGGCGTGCTATCTTACCAATATGTGACAATTCGGGACACTGGGGACTGAGACTCTGCCGAGATTCGACATTGCAGCGAGCAATCGACTGCCTGGAACCACTGCATTTTTGTGCCCTGTGCCTTATCGAGGTCAAGGAAAAGGTTTCCACAGTGCGTGGCTCGAGGCCAAGCTTACAGAAAGGAACGAATCGCCAATGAAAAGAGTGCGGTGTGCTTCGGGGCGCGCAAAAGAATGGGCCAAGCAGCCGACAAGCATGTCAGCCACCGCTGTTGACTGCGTGCAATATGACGATTCCACAATACTGCTTTTGTGCGTGCTGCACAGTAAACCAGACGAGGTGTGTTGAGAGAGCGCTGTAATGCGACGCCCTGTGCCTCACAGTGGCGATTTCACGATACAACATATGGCACACATTGATTTGATATTATTTTCGTATCCAGCGTGGCTAAAGTGGTGGGAAATGCAACCGTCTCGACACACACTGCACGACTCTGGAGTCGTATATCGTATCTTAACTATCCGTACTCTATTAGAGAAGGGCAGGGCCAGCACGTCCCTCACGCTTCCCACCCCTTCGGCCCTACTTGGAGTTTGGAGGGCTGTGCTGGACGTACAATCACAGTGACCAAGAGAACAAGACGAGACGCGAGGCGAGGGCTGAGAGCCTGAGGTCGTTTTTACTGGACAGCTGGGAGACAGAATGTGAGCGGGCCGTCAATACTTGAGGAGACGTGAGGAGACGTGAGGAGGTATCTTATCCCCCCCTCCCCCCTGTTCCGGATTTGCTGATTGATGCTCGTCGGAAGCAAAGGGATAGACACAATGAGGAGACACGTTCTCAGGGTACAGCAGACAGATGGAAATGGGAAGAGCACAGCCAAAAAGCCAAAAAGAAAGCACAGGGCCGCGAGGCAGTACAATCATCCCATCACAACAAAGACGGAAAATGAGGGACGGCGCGAGTTCAGACGCGCGAAGCAGCAAAACATAAATAAGCGAAAGCGAGACCGCAAGCCATGGAGGGGAGAATGTCCTTTTCGGATCTTGCAAAAGTACTTGAATCGCCGTCAAAGTACGGATAACTACTTTCGGTCCTGGCGCAAACAAAGGTCGCTGTCGGCGTCCGCGATGAGGCGAGGCAAAAAGGGCAATGAATTTGCTTTTCCTTGTCTCAACCGAGTGCCGGCGGCCAGGCCTTGTGGGTGGCGCGCCTGGCTCTCTCAGCCCCGAGCGCCGTCCTGTTAGTGGTTTCCGTGAGCGTGCTGGTATTTCGTTAGCGGCCTGGAGTCTGCCGCTACGCCAATGCAATTGGGTTGTGCCTCTGCCTTTTCCACGCTTCTTTTCTTATTCCTGTTCTTCGTGAAATCATGAGTCTCCCCTTTGCGTCTTTTGCTTGACCTCAATTTTAGTCTATTTTCCTTCTTCTTCGTCTCTTTTTTGTCTACTTGTTTGGGCATCGTTTCGCTTGTCGGATCTCCCACTGAGCATGGAGCGTCCCTTTTCACGACCGTTAGTTTGGCTGTGTGCTTTGGCTGTTCCCTCCTAATTCCGTTCCCAAATTGACAACTTCGTCGCCCAGGCCTCGACACAGTGGCCGTTTCCAGAGGCACAGTGCGTCACGCTAAATGCAAGTCGAACGCGGCTTCACACGTGAAACGACATTGTACAGACGATGATGGAGGCATTTGGCACAACACTGGACAAGTCGTAGAAAAGAAACAGGTGACCGGAGAACAGGCGAACAAATAAAGTCTTCAAACTCTCAAACGATGCATCAGTCGGACGGCGCAGCAATGAGATACGGTGCCACGACTGAACTCGAATCGTCCTATGCCCTAGTATTGCCAGCACAGTGTGCAGACCGTGCATCAGTCTGCTTTTTACCGTCGCGAGTGGGTTGTCGTCGGTTGGAGTGTCTATCTCCTTCCCCTCTCTGCCACATTCCACCGCCAACGAGCACCCGGAACGACTGCACAGAGTAACCAAGCCCGCCATGGCCTTTGTTGTCGCTGTGCCCTGGGAAGTTCTTCCACTGACGTGAGCGCACCCGTACCCAGTATTACCGAGTATGGCAGAATGGAATTTCCTCGTACACACACACACACACACACACACACACACGTAACGCACCTGCCCCAGTAATGCACCACAACAAACGCCATCCTGCTTTTCGCCCTTTGGCCCTATTGGACTTGCCCTCCTTGGCCCTCTGCTCTGTCCTCGAAATTGGTCTTTCGACGCTCCCTCTTTTGCGACTGCATTTTCCCATCCCTCACTCACGTCTCTTTCCTTCTGTTGACAGCGTCTCGATCTTTGCAAACGATACCCAAAAATCCCCCATTTGTCGCTATTCGGGTTGCCCGGAAGCGTGCTTGACGACTGCTACAAAACCACCCCCGACAAGGTCTATCCGACGACCTAGGGCATGTCGGGTCCGCCCTCTCCTGTGCCTTGCCCCTAACTCCGCCAGGTGCACCCAGCCTGCCTTTGAGACACACGCCCCCAGTGCACGTTGCTGTCGTCTCTTTCCAGGCCCAATTCGACTTTGCAATCACTTTTTGTCTTTTGCTTCTCACTTTGCTTTGCACATTCTCTCAGAGTGCACTCTCGACACACATCGTCCGTCTCTCCCTTGATTCTTTCAGAGGCTCTCTTTCTTCGCCGGACGCTATCGGGAAACGACAGGCCACTACAGGCCACTACAGAACACTACAGAACACTACAGAAAAAAGCAGCCCCTAGTCCCAGGGCCTGTAACCACAACACACACGCAACACAGCACGCAGCACGCACTGTCCTTTGCACGCTACTGGCCGCTCTTCCCTCCCAAGCCCGCCAGAGCCTAGGGCCCCAGCATCATCGCCCTTTATCCCCTCCCCTCGGCCGCTCCCACTGTCTGTCGCTTCTCTCTCGACAGCGGCGACGTCGAAATCTCCCTCGTTCATCTCGACAAACCTCCTCTCATCATCTTTTCCCCTCCCTCCCCTCATACCCTCTTTCTGCTGTCTCGACAAGCGAACCTCCTCCCCCCTTGAGCGACTCAACCGCTCCCGTCCTCCCCCACAATGTCGACGCCTACCACGGCCACTGCGACGCTTCCTCACTACGCCGCTGGCTACCCATTCTCCCACCAGTCGTCGTACCGGCCGACACATCCTCATTCCGGCCCGTCGGGTCGTCTGGCGCCTCCGCAGGTGTCCTCGCCATCGTCTGCGTCGGCCTCGTACGCTCCCTATTCCCCGTCGTCCTCCCATCTCATCCCGGCCGCCGTGGCCAACGGGGCCGCTGTTGCTGCGAACCACTCCAATCACGCCAATCACGCTCGGCAGCCACAGCACCAGGCACCGCAGCATTATCACCACACAACCGCCCACAGCCAACAGGGCCAAAACCACGTTTCGTCCTCGTCGTCTCAGCACAACGGACACCACGCCGGGCCCTACGGGTCACACGGGTCGCACGGGTCGGCTGTTTCCTCGCCGAGCTACTCGGCCACCACAACCATTACCCTCCCGCCGCCTTCACGGCTGTCCCACGGGACTGCTGCCACCGGCACCACGCCCTCGGCCTCGACCCTCGACGCCGCCTCCCAATCGTCCATGCATGCCGCCATGGGCTCATCACAACACGGGGATTCGCAGCCGCCACGCAAGCGTCGCCGGTCGGGCCCGCCGGATTGGGGCTCGTTCTACAAAAATGGCCTGCCGCAGGAGGTCATTGTGATTGAGGACAGCCCCGAGCACGACGCGTCTGCCCACGGTCGCTATGGCAGCGGACACGGTGCAGCCTCGGGAAGCCGCAATGGCACACTTGGTTCACACGGTGCTCACGGTGCCGGTGCCGTCGACGTTGCCGCCGTTGCCTACCACTACGACCAGAAAGACCAACTTGCCAATGGTGGCAGTGGTGCCACCGCCGACCGCCACATTGCGAAGAAGCGGCGGCGAACAGACGACCGATATCCGCAGCAGCAGCAGCAACAACAGACAACAACACTGCCGCCGGCCAGCTCTCTCGTGGCCAACGTCGGCTCGACCAGCGGCAGCCGCTACGACCCGGTGCACAACTACCTGCAGCACCAGCACTCGAGCGGCTCGACCATTTCCAGCGAGCGGACCAACTCCAACTCCAACAATTCCAACGCGTCCCTGTACACCACGACGGCCACGGCCGCCAACACGGCCGCCACATCCCTCGTGTCCTCCAACGGGCAGTACGAGTACGACGTGGGCAGCCAGAAGCGCAAGCGGACGACGCGGCAGCAGGCGGCCAACGAGTCGAAGAAGCGCGATCGCGAGGCGGCGGCGCTGGGCCTCGCCTTTGCCAACTACCGGCCACCGCCCCTGCCTCCCGTCAAGGCCGCCGAAGTCGACGTCAAAGTCATTCGCGATGTACGTATTCCGGGTCCTATTCGGCTCGTCTGGAGTCTTGCCCAACAACAACTAACATGGTCTTTTTTCTCTTTTTCCGTAGGCACCCCACTCCAAGAACGTCAAGGTCGACGACGACGACGGCCATTACATTGTCGTGCCCGAGACCGACCTGACCAAGCGATACCAAATGGTGAAACTCCTCGGCCAGGGCACGTTTGGCAAGGTCGTCCAGGCCCGCGACCGCGAGAAGAACGAACTCGTCGCCATCAAGATCATTCGCTCTGTGCAAAAGTACCGCGATGCCTCGCGAATCGAACTGCGCGTGCTCGAGACGCTCAAGGCCAACGACCGCGAAAACCGCAACCGCTGCATCCATTTGCGGGAATGCTTTGACTTCCGCGGTCACATCTGCATTGTCATGGATCTCCTGGGCCAGAGCGTGTTTGACTTTCTCAAGGGCAACGGCTTTGTACCTTTCCCTAACAGTCAAATCCAGAGCTTTGCCCGCCAGCTTTTTACCAGTGTTGCCTGTGCGTTGTCCCCCATTGATGTTCGACTCCATCCAATTTCGAATACTAATACTTTCGTCCAGTCCTCCACGACCTGCAACTCATCCACACCGATCTGAAACCCGAAAACATCCTCCTCGTCGATGCCAACTACCAGACGTTCACGTACAACCGCAAAATCCCATCGTCATCTACGACTGTCGGCCGCCAGGCTACTCAGCGACGTGTCTTGCTCGACACCGAGATTCGACTGATCGATTTTGGCTCGGCCACCTTCCAGGACGAATATCACTCCTCCGTCGTGTCCACGCGCCACTACCGCGCGCCCGAAATCATTCTCGGCCTGGGATGGTCGTTCCCGTGTGACATTTGGAGCATCGGCTGCATCCTGGTCGAGTTTTTCACCGGCGACGCCCTGTTCCAGACGCACGATAACCTCGAGCATCTCGCTATGATGGAAGCGGTGTGCGACGGCCGCATCGACACGCATCTCGTCCAGCAGGTCGTGAAGTCTACCCGTCACGGCGTCCGCCCCGCGGCCAAGTATGTCCCTGCACTCTTTTCTTTTCCTGCTTATGTTTTCTTCTTTTCTGTTTTTTGATCGTCGCCTAACACGGCCTGCAGATACTTCAAGAGGTTAAAGCTCGACTATCCCTGTGAGGAGACTACGCGTGCTTCAAGGCGATTTGTGAAGGCCATGAAGAAGCTGAATGTAAGCAGACTGTGTGGAAGCGCACAACCAACACCGCTGACCGCTGACCGCTGACCGCTGACCACCTCTCCAGGACATTATCCCCACGACCAACAATTTCCTGCGGCAATTCCTCGACTTGCTCAAGCGCATCTTCATCTACGATCCCGCCCAGCGCATCACCGCAAAAGAAGCCCTGCAGCACCCCTGGTTCCGCGAGATCGCCGTGCAAGACGACGGTACGGAGGCAGCTAAGATCCGCCACCAGCGTGCGCGCGCCTCGCGAGAACGAACTACCTCTCGGGTCGCTCAACCACACCCATGAAGGGGATGGGGCTGGCTGAACCGGACGAACGGCCACTCCCTTTCGAGGTGACCGGCCCTTCCGGCGGCAGCTTAGCGCTTAACCCTGTGTATTTTTGGAGATTCTTTTTTCTTGTGACGCGGACACGACACTTATCTGGGAGGCCCAATCGGCCGCACGACTTGCCATTTTTATACGGGATTGCTATTCGCTTGTTCTTCTTCTCTTCTTCTTGGAGCATTGGGGCATGGACTTACTGCCTGAGGCAGATGGGGGCGTACGACTTTCATTTTCCATTCTGATCGCATTGTGTTTGCTCGTCATTTTCTTTTTTTTGAAGACGACTGGAAACGGCCAGGGAGTGTGGGGGCCGTCTTTTGTTGTGATTTCACACGTTCTTGTCCTGTTATCTACTACGTTGTATTCTTCGCGCAATATTCTGTCGCCCTCTCGTCTTTTTTTTCCCCCCATTGCCACAACAAAAACGCTTTTGATGTCCAAGCTGCAGACCGCACCCTACCTTCTGTCGGCCCGCTCTTTTTGTGTGTGAAGTTACACTGACCAGGCGTCGTCTAATGATTGCGACTGCATGTTTTATGCTACATCTTCATGTGGTATCTCTTATATTCATGTTGTTAATGCTACGGTCCAAGTATGTTGTTTGGTTGGGACACAGGCAGGCTGGCTGGCCATAAGCCCGTGGACGACAGGCCCGGACTGGAACAAAAAGTCAAAGAACAAATCGATCACGATGCAAACGAAACACGATGAGACGCAGCAACCCAAACCACCGTGATGTCAAGTCACTGAACATCTATAGCCACTGACCTTCTTCTCATGAATTTTTCTAGGTATGCATATTTGTGTTTTATTTGTTTCTGTTGTCTTGCAGACTTTTTTCTTTTCCGGTTTTACCTTTGTCCTTGTCCCATTGTTCAGTTGCGACCACAGCCACAACTGTGAGAACCAGAACATAGACAAAGCGCCGACATTTGTGCCTTTCATCAACAATGAACAAAGGGCAACGAAGGCGACGTGAGGTCGCGAACACACCCTTTTCACCTTGCCGGCAACCGAACTGAACGGCCTCCTTTGCTTTAGGGAGGCGACAGCCTTGTTCATTGGCTTTTACTAATATTCTTACTGCCTCCCTATTTCTCTCGTCTCCTTATTAACTTCGCAGCCGCGCATCGCCTCCTACCCCTATCACAAATCTATATGGCGCCCTGCACATCGCAGTTATTCACACAAGACTGGCCTCTGTTTGTTCAGACTGGCCAGATGGCTCTTTGTTCACTAGAACAGCATTGTATTTTCTGTTCGTTTTGCAAACACGAACAGGCGATCCGCCATCTATATATACAACCAGGTCACTTGGTATAACAGAGTAAGCAAACGACCCTTTGTACAAGACTCTATTTTTCGAACCTTGATCTAGATGACAAGCACGTTTTACTTTTAACTTCTAGAACGAAACAAAATAACGACACCCTCGACAGAAAGACGAGAAGCGGAACAGCAGAACCAGAGAGGGAGAGGTAGTCTTGTCTGTTTGCCTGGTTTGCAAACGACCTTTGGCGAGAAGACTCGCCATTGGCACTTCCTTCTCTCTCTTTCGTCTCTTCATTTGTTTTCTCGTCTTTCTTTTACCGCCGTTTGAGTGGGCTTATGGCCCTTGCGCCGGTATCCTCTCACAGCATGTCGACCATTCCTCTCCGATACATCTCGGGCAACGTCCTGCACGCCCTGGCCGTTGTCCTGAGTCTTCCGCCAGACAGCCTCGAGGAGACTGGCCGCCACACGGCCACGCCGTCTGCCACGTGGCAGGCCGAGCAGGCGGCCCGCATTCCTGGCCTGCCGCGCTGCCTCCTGATCCCACCCATCCCCCACCTGTCCGTCAAGGTCGCCCAGGTGGCGAAACGGGTTGTCATTGCCGCCGCGGGCGGCGCCGATACGCTCGCCGTCAAGGCCGCCTCCAAGGGAATTCGGCTGGACGCTGTTCTCCACCCCTGCTCCACACCGACGGCGCTCTGCCCGGCACATCGCGACCTCCATCCGAACCTTGTGCGGGAGATGTTTTTCTATCTCTCGCGCGAGGTCGCCGACAATGCCGATTTCGTCCGCCGGCACCCTGTGCACGACCGTTTTGATAATAACGACCATGACAACGGCGTGAACGACGGCGGCGACGCTCCCGAAGCAATCTGCCACACTCGCGACGTGCACGACTGGGGCCTCCGCATGATTGGTATCAGCGCGCTGTGGTGTACGCGGCACACGTTCCGGGCGCTGGAAAAGGGCCGTCAGGTCTTGGTCGCGGCCTCGCGCCACCGGCCTCCAATGAGTGCCAAGGCTGGCTCGTCGGCGGGTTCGTCGACAAAGTCGCCCTCCCAGTCGTCCTCCCAGTCGTCCACACACATCCGCAGCAGCATGCGCATGCCACACCTGCAGTACCCCTGCGAGGCGTGCATCCTGGCGGCCGTCGGCGCCCGCAGCCAGACGCTCATCGACCTGCGCGCCAGCATGCTGAGCCGCATGGCCGAGGAGCACCACGACAAGCAGCGGCGCGACCGGCGCCGGGGCACGATTCCGTCGTCGTCTTCGTTTGACAAGAAGAAGAAGCCCCGCGAGCCCAACCTGCTGCCCCTCGTCGAGACGTACATCAACGTCCTCGGCCGCGAGTTTGGCGACGAGATGGCGGCCGAGATCCGCGCGCGCAGCGAGGCGCTCGCCGAGTCGATCTTCGACGTGCGCCTCTGCGAAGCGCGGCGCCGCCGGCACGTGGCGCGCGACGTCAAGCGGCTGCAGCGACAAGGCGAGTCGGCGCGGTACGTGCGCGACCCGTGCACGCCGCGCCTGGTCACCAAACATGGCCACCGCCTGCCGCTGCCGCTGCTTCCGCTCGACTGCGACCTGTGGGCGCACTACAACGAGTCTGTCGTTGGTGGCAACAAACAAAACTACCAACCGACCCCCGGCCGTGCGCATGGCGCCGACCCGTCCGGAGCGCACGACGAGAGCCAAGAGCAGTACTATGTTGTGCCCGACGAGGAGGTGGAGCAGGGACAGGATGAAGCGGACAAAGCACACCAACATGAACTGGGGGGCAAGGAGGCATGCGACAAGCAGCACCCTTCCATGATGGGCAGCGACTATTTGGCGCATCTTGGCTACAACGAATACTTTGCCCAGGGCCCGCCCGAGCCGACTGTGGCGGAGGAGACGCCGGCCCCCGAATGGGAAGATGACTACCGGCGCAATGTGCTCGAGTCGGAGACGGTCTTCTCGTCGGATGTCGCCGACGAGCGTCCTTGGACAGGCCACAGCAGTGATGACGACCACGCTTCATATGTCACCATTAGTGTCTATACCCAGCTACCTCTCAACCAGCTTTCCAGCCCAGTTCCCGGCCCGTCCCCCAGCCACAAGGGCCCTAGCCGCCGAGCTGCTGCTGCTTCTCCCTCATCGATGCCTGTTCGCGGTCTCTCTCCGATCCCCGGCACTCCTACTTCTACGGCCGCCCGCTCTATGGTCAGCTCTGTCTCACGGCGCCCCACTCGTTCGACTCGTCCATCGTCTACCAGTGAACTGCCGCCGCGGCCGGCCAACCCGACGCCATCTTCTCAACCTCGCACCTATCCGCCGGCTCCCACCTCGAGCGTCTACTCCCGCGTCACGGCAGCGACCCAGAACGGCCAGAAGTCCTCCAAGGCCAAGCAGGCGTTCTCTACGATTCTGTCTGAAGCCAACGCCTCGCAGGCATCGGCCTCCTCGGCCAGCCGGGCGATTCCTTCGCCTCGTCCTGCCAAGGCGTCCACATCAACTGCGCCGTCTGCATCGTCTTCGCTCTCGTCTCTTACCCAACCAACGGCGTCGTCTTCCTACCGCTCTCGCGCCCCGAGCACGCCGGCTCCCGCTACCCGCACCCCGGCTCGTGCGCCCCGAGCACCTGTGGCGGCCGCCGCATCGACTGCATTTGTCCCTCCTTCCAATGGGCGCAAGCCGACGTCGGTAGCATCATATGTGGCGATGCAGGCCGTCATGGACGCGAGCCGCAGCCGGAGCCGCGTCAACGCGGCTGCGACGACGCGTACACCTACGACTTCCACTTTGGCGAAACCGTGCTCTGCCGCTTCGACGGCGTCCAAGACCACCAAGTCGACAAGCACCACCTCCAAGGCACCGACCGAGAGGACCTCCCAAAGCACGGTTTCGAAGTCGTCCCCCGCCTCGACGGTGACTGACCTGAGCCGCTATCCACTGCTGCCCAGGACGACGTACCAGCCGCCGTCCATGACACAGCGGTCAGCCATGCCGCCACCGCTCTTCTCCAAGTCTGGCCAGCAGCAGCAGAAGCAGCAGAAGCAGCAGGAGACGCAGGAGACGCAGGAGTCGCAAGAGAAGGTGCGCACGCCTACGCGCCCATCACGGGCTTCCCCTCGGACAACAAAGGCTTCCACCTCCACCGCACTTCCCAAGACGCCTACGATGCGGAAGACGCCCGAGAGTCCCAAGATTCGTCAGGTGCCCGAAATGCGCAACACACCCAAGGCACCCAAGTCGCCGTCAGAGACCAGTTCGGACGTGTCGTTCGACTGGAGCCAGTCAGCTCCGTCGGATCTGAGCGTCGGCGAAGGGCCCCGTCATCGCCCAGACTATGCAATCTTTGTCGACGACGACCACGACAACGACAATGGCTCTGCTGGCCCATGCTCCATCGCGCCGGACGACTCCATCAGTGCCGTCGCTGGCGACCGGCACCAAAAGGAGACGGACAGGCTGACACGGCAGCGGTGCGAGTCGGAGGCCGAGCAGCCGCGCCGGTGGCTGCAGAAGCAAAGGCAGAGACAGCAGCAGACATTGACGGCGCCGACACGGCCAGGTCGTGGCCAGCAGGGCCCCATCCCGCGGATCCTGAACCACTACCAGCCAAACAACAGTCGTCGGCCGCCCCAGGCACCACCGCAGGCACCACCGCGGGCACCGCCTCAGCCGCGGCAGCCGATGCGGCCACGGACGCAGGCCGAGGTCCAGAACAAGCCCCTGCCCCGTCTCCCCGCCGAGGCAAAGACGCAGCGTTGTGTTTGCCAGGGTGTCCATCCACGGAAGCATCACACGTGCGGATTGCAGGAGGAGGCGGCTGACCGGCCGACGTCCAACCTGACCAACTGCACGGCGTGGCCCAAGTGTTTCTAACACGACCACCGCCACTGCCAGGTGACGGTTTCTCGGTTTCCTTTGTTAAAGGTGACGTCTCTTATGTAAGTTTTTAGAGTATCAAATACAGCCAAGTACATATGGCGACCATTTAAACAAAAGATTCAAGACAACTTTGTTTTTTCTTTCCTTATGAACATGCTGTGCACCAAACCGTCTCGCAACTATGCACGCGTTCGCCAATAGGACAAGTATGCATTCGTAAACGTACACGTAAATCACATTCGCTTTTCTATGTATCCAGCCGTGCGGCCCTGTCGATGACCCGTCGCTAACTACTCCTTGTCTTTTTTTCCCTGCATCTCCTCGCCTTCGTACAGCTTCTGCAGCGCCGGCAGGTACGCGGCGGCCGGCTTGAAGTCGCGCAGGCGCACTTGCATCTGGTCAAATGCCACGAGCACCTGCATCTCGGCCGCGCTGTTGTTTTTGTTGTTGTCGTCGCCGCCGTTCTCGCCGTTCTCGCCCGACGCGAAGACGGGGATCTTGGGGTAGCGCTGCGAAAAGTGCGTCAGCAGCACGCGGCGCGCGCCCATGGCGCGGCCCACCTCCAGGGCCTCGCCCATGGTGCTGTGCTTCTTGGCGCGGGCCTCGGCGACGAGCTCGTCGTCAAAGGTGCTCTCGTGGAGGAGGAGCGTCGCCTGCTGGCCGATCTCGGCAAAGTCGGTCGAGGGCCGGCAGTCGCCCGAGTAGGCGACTTTGAGGCGGTCGCCGCCGGTCGTGGTCGCGCTTGCTGTTGCAGTGGCGGCGGGCCATGTAAACACGCACGCCAGGGCGCCGTGGCAGTGCTGCACGCGGCACGCGTCGATGCGCTCGAGGCCAAACTCGGCCTGGAGCGCGGGCGAAAACGTCTTGGGCACACAGACGTTGGACCGCGGGCCGTCGCGGGCGTGGTTCTCGAGCGCCACCTGCCAGATGCGGTCGAGCCCAATGTCCTCGACGTCGGCGTACTCGCGCAGCCACTGCAGCATGTTGACGTGGGACGCGACCATGAGCCGGCGCGTCTTTCCTTTGTTGCTTTCTGTGTCCTCGCTGGCGCTCGCCGTCGCGGCGGTGGCGTCGCGCCACGCCTTCAAGACGCTGACCGTGCCCAGGTGGTGGTCCGCGTGCAGGTGGCTGATCCACAGCACCTTGAGATCCCGCAGCACCTCGCGCAGCTTGGCCGCGCCAAAGAGACGGCGCATCGACCCCAGCGTGTTCTCGCCGCAGTCAAACAGGTAGCTGCCGACACCGGGCACGCGCACGAGCGTCGCCGAGACGTTGCGGTACTTGGAGGGCATGGCCGAGCCCGTGCCCAGCGGAATGACTTCAGTGTCCGGGTGCGGCAGGCCGGCGTTGCCGGCGTCCACGGCGCTTTGGAAGCCAGGGGTGGCGACGTGGGCGCGGGCGGTATCGGCGAGCGCGAGCACCTGCGGGTCCATCTCGGCCAGCGCCTCGGCAAAATCGACGTACGGGTATATCTTGTGGTCTTCCTCGAGAACCTGGGGCGCCAGACGGACCGACCAGCCCGGGCGGGCGGGCACAAACAGTGATTGGCCCGTGGATGCAGCCGGCACGGCGGGTGTGGGCTCCACGTTGTCGTACTGCTGGATGGGGAAGCGGTCCGGGTCGACGCGGTGGTGCTTGGCCTGCAGGGCGGCGGCCGACGACAAGGCCAGCCGGTTGGCGCACGTGTCCGTGGACGCGACGGTGTGGCGGATCTTGTGGTGCTGCTGCATAAACGCCTGGATGCGCGCGTCGGCCAGGACGCCAGGACCCAGCAGCCAAAAGATGGTGTCAATGGCGCGCATCACCTGGGGGTGGGCCCACTCGGGCTTGGCCAGGAAGGCGTCAATGTACGACACATCCGGCAGCTCGACGACGGCGAACGCGGCGCCCTCGACGTCGGCGGCAATGACCATGTCGGGCGTGACGGTGCGGCCGTCGGCGGCGGTGACGCTGTGGCCGGCGACGAGGTGGCGGTTGTCCTGCTTGGCGACGCCCAGCTTGGCGGCGGCAGCGGCGTCAAACTTGCCGCGGCGCGGGTGGTTGCGCACAATGTAGCACATGGACTGGCGCGCGGGGGCGGTGTGAGGAAGGGACTCGATGAGGGCGCCGGGCCACGGCTGGCGCACGAGCACAGGGATGTCGGGGACGTGGGCACCGCCTGGTCCCGTGGGCAGCGGACCGTCGTACTCCTTGAGGTGGCCCTGCTCGTCCTTGACGAAGAGCTTGGCCGGCAGCTTGGCGGCGTGGAGGGTGGTCTCGACGAGGGCGTCGAGGGTCCAGTTGGAGTCGAACATGTGGTGGACGACGGAATCGACGAGTTCGCGGTCGGCCGCGTCGCGATCGGACGACGCCGTGGGGGACTCGTTTGCTGTGTCGTCGTCGCTTGTCTCGAGGGCGCGTTTTCGAGAGTCGCGGCCGTTGCTGTCGGCGCCATCCGCAAACACGGGCACGTACCACACCATGATGTTGTCGTCCGACCAGTCCGGTTCGCGGACTGTGTCCGACGACGACGCGGATGCACTGCCCGCCAAACTGGTGTCGTGACGCACCTCGTGCGGCCTGATCGGCATGCCCTTTCGGAAAATGAACCGCCGCGCCGTCGCGATGACGTGTGTCAGGTTGATGCCGCCGTGGATGCTCAGCGAGCGCGGCGGGGCCGCCTGGGCGGCCGCCAGCCCCGCCACGGCGGCTTTGTATGCTTCCTCGGCCTTGGCGCCGTTCTTGTTGTCTTTCCCGTCCTTGCTTTTGGTCTTCGCGGCGGCGTCCCGCAGCTTCTGCGCCTTGGCGAGCTTTGCTTTGGCCTCATCGACGGCCGCCGCGGCGGCGGCTTGCACCACGTCTGCCACCGTCAGCACCATGCCCAGCAGCCCGCCGGCCGTGTGCCAGCCTATGGGCCCCGTCAAAAACACCTCGTCGGCGCGGCTCAGCGACACCTTTTGCTGCACAAAGGCACGCTGCGTGCCTTCGGCGACGTTGCCAAAGAGATAGCGGCGGTTGTCATGGTGGACGAGCAGACAGGTGCCGGGGGTGTCGGCCGTCGGCGTGGTCAGGATCTGGACGTAGTTGAGCATGGGGGCCACGGGCCGCTTCGGAGGGCGGGAGGAGGAAGCAGCAGCGTGTTCTGTCGAGGGAGGTTCGTCTCTGGCGTTCGTGTCTTGGAACAGAAAGTAGCGGACACGGCTCTTCCACGATCGGTTCAAATGGTGGGATGGGAAGGTCTTGACGGAGCTGGAAAACAGGCCCTCGGGGACTGTCGAGTATTTGAGTGGAGATGGAGGGTAGTTGTGGGGAGAACGGCGGCCGGCGTGCTTTGATATCGTTGGTGCGTTTGAAGAGTTTGAAGTGTTTGCTGGATTAAGTGAGCTTGACAAGGCTGACGCTTGGTCCGGCGGCGACGGCGAGCGAAACGGCGTGGCGTGGTGAATCGGCGAGTGATGTGGCGCCGTCGTCCGCTGCCGCTTTGGTGTGTGCATGAGCGGCGGGGAACTGTCCAGTGCCGCCGTCGTTGAAGAGAATGGCGATCGTCGAGGTGAAGAACAAAAAGGAAAACGAGAAATGCGAAGAGGGGCAGCGCCGGAGCGAAATGAATGGAAGAATGGCGCCGGTCGGTAGGATGGTGGTCGCATGAAGGAGAGGATAGGCCGCGGATATGGCCGGTGACTAAAAAACGAGGGGGTTGGCGGCGATCATCGTCAAGAGGCGTGTCGTCGATGTAGATGACTCTTACGGAGAGGGGACTTTTGTTTACGGCGGAGACGTCTGAGGCAGCTCTTGCCGTATTGGTAGATCTGCCGACTTTTTCTTCGGCCTTGTCTTATCGATAAGAAACAAGGCCGACTAACTACAGTACAGAGAAGTATGTAATGTACCAGCATATGTATAGTGGGAATAGACGCTCTGGCTGCTGTTTGTGCCAGCCAGTCACGTGCATTCGCTTCACCCAGATCGAGCTTCCTGTCTGGTGATAGTTCTCCACTAAAATCGACGTCGAGACGTTACGTTGCCAGTCTCTCTCACATTTCGTCGTCACAACCTCGACTACAAACCCCCGTCCGCAGCCATGGCGCCCATAGGGCACTCCGCGACGGCACAGGCCGAGAGTAAGCTGCTCCCAGCATCCAGCCAGCACCCCAATGCCTACTGATAGACACGCACTGACGCCTCCACCCCAATCCTCCAGCGGCCATTCGCGACACCATCCAGTCGCTCTACAATGTGATGCTGCACACAAGCGCCTACGATGCTGCCGGCTCACACACGTCCCTCGATGCCCTCGTTGCCGAGGTGCGGATCCTCTCGCAGGCCCTCCGGGACGTCAACGAAGTCGTCGAGAACGACAACAGCGGCAGCGGCCCAAATAGCGTCGTCACCCTCGACAGCACCGGCACCGGCCACCGCAGTTTGCCGTCCGTGCCTCGCGACCTTGTCCAGTACGTCGAGGCCGGCCGCAACCCGGACATTTACACCCGCGAATTCGTCGAGCTCGTCCGCCGCACCAACCAGCTGCGCGCCGGCAAGCGCGGCGCCTTTGCCCAGTTCCGCGACACGCTGGCGGGGCAGATCCGGTCGGCGCTGCCGGAGCTGGGCGGGGACGTCGACCGGGTCATGGGGGCGACGGCGGAGCACCCGAGTCAAGCAGAAGAACGAGGAGAACCACAGACCGGTCCTGGCTCGGCGCAGCCTGCCGCGTCCTTGGACGGCTCCTCCAAGACGACCCTCGTGGGTGAGGCCGAGACGCCTGGAAGCCACGGCGGATCTGCGCCTGCTGTGGCGGCCACGGCGGCCCCGACGGGAGCAGCAACAACGCACTCCACTGCCAACGTGCCCGCGTCGGCGTCGGCATCGGCCTCGCCGTTGGCGCATCCGGGCAGCGGCGGCAGCAACCAAGCAGGCGCAGGAACACCGTCGGCCAACTCGGACGCCGGCAGCGGAACAGGGAGCGGCGGACCCCATGGAGTCTCGTCCGCGCCGACGACGATTGACATGATGGGCATCCTGCCGTCGACGCCACAGCCCACATCCGCGGCGGGTGGGGGGACGGCCAGTGGGAGTGGCAGCGGCGCGGCAGTAGGTGGAGGAGCTGCCGGCAGCGGTGGCGATGGTGGACAAGATGCGATGGAAACATCGTAGTGGATGGGATACGACAAATGTGCAGATGACGATCGCAACTGCATGATACATGATACGTGACACTGGCTGTACTATATACCCCGAGACGGACGCGACATTCTACATACTTGTATTTACTATTTTATGTTATTTTTGATTTCCTACAAAATCGACTGACCCTCAGTTTTCCACGTGCTACCGCGCCTCACCATGCTTTACTTTTCTGTCTTGTACGAAATGACGGACACGCCGCGTGCAACGAATTCGGTGTCTGACGACGGCCCGGGCGACCCCGACGAGCCCTCCATCTGCAGGTCCAGAATCAGGTACAGCGCCTTGCCGGTGAAGCCCCGACCGACTTGCGTGGTCACCAGCTGGCCGTCCATGTAGAACCGCACGCCCACGTCGCGGCCGTTGGCGTCCCACAGCACGCACCGCACCGCGTGAAAGGCGCCGGGGCTGGGGTACGCCACGTCCTTGGCCGCCACCTGGCTCGACGTGTTGAACGTGTTGAACGAGATCTTGCCGCTGCCCTTCCACTCGGCCAGGTCCACCTCGGGCGGCCACCCGTCGACGGCCGTCAGCCAAAAGGCCGGCCATGTGCCCCGCGCGACGGGCGCGCGGAAGTCGCCGGCCAGCTCGACGGTCGTCCCCTTGGCGACGGTAATGTGCTGCCGCGCGTGGACGGTGCCCGACAGATAGTGGATCGGAATGGACTTGCCACCGTGGCTGGCGGGCTTCTGGCTGCCGTCGGCGACGCGCTTGGCCGTCATGGTGAGCGTGTTTGCGTCGGCGGCCGGGTCGAGGCGGCTCTGGCCCTTGTCCATGCGCGCGGCGCCGTTGTGGTCGGTGCCCCACGGGTAGTTGTAGTCCCAGACGGCGTCAAACGCAGACTGCGAGCTGAAGGAGTCTCTGGAGATGATGGTCGTCGTGGGGGCGGCGGACATGTCGTTGGTGGTTGCGTCCGCCATCACCGATAGAGACTGCGCCGGAGTGCTTGCTGCGTGGCCGCCGTACGCCAGCAACAGCACCGACGTGAGCATCGAGTGTACCTGCATTGTAGTCGACGTCACAAGTGAATGAGATCGATCGCAACACGCGAAATCACACACTCAACCGAAGGCGTCGCTGCACGTACTTGTGCTTCCTTTTATAGTATTATAGATGCGATTTTCCGCAATTAGAGACCGGGTGTTATACAACGTGGCCTCCCTGCAATCTACGAGCCGTCTCTGCTGCACGGTATATACATATATAGTATTAAGCACACGGCTTCATCTTTTAAGATGGTTCTATGTTAGGAAATGCTCCTCAGAGGAGGAGGCCGCAGGCCATAAATGGTTTGTAAATCCATATGCCTCTTACTGTCTATGCAGCAGCCGACGGACATCTATAAATACGGTAGCTTCGCATTGGAGGCCCACTGGAGTCTCTCCTCCTAATTGTGACAATATGTGTCATCTTATTCCTTTGGAGCCTCACACGGACTGAAAACCATCTTGCACCCGGGGCCGAAGAGTAGACATCCAGACAATGTCATCTCATCAACTTTAGAAACGGGTCCACCGAACGGTTGACTATGAGCTCCGGCCCCATTTGGAAGCAGTTATAGTCTAAGAGCAAAGAGATCTGACCAAGACCTCGGATAGGTGAGCTGCTGTCATTGGAAAACATAATCACCCGTCTTTTACTCTTGTTCATCTGCAGGCATCGACACGGCAATGTGATTTCTGGCCCCCACGGCAGCCGCCTGACTGCAGTATATCGTCGCAGAAGGGCCAATCAGAGTATACAAGGAACGAAAAGCCGTGTGTGAGGTGTGTAGCAGGCGCGATCGACATATATCGGTGCGTCATTAAGCAAAACAGTACGTACCATCGCTCGCACGACTAAAATAAACAAAATACATGTTGGACTACTGTACTTCAGGCCTCTTATCTAGCCTTGGTGTTAAAGGGCTCTCTAATTTGCCAGTTGGCCGAGAAACAGAATGTAGGACTCACCAGCATAGCAGGTCACGTGTTAGTCCCAGGATGGTGGTCCTACTCCTGAGAGGCCTCGTTTGCCATTCCCATAGAAAGCCAAGCACATTATCCCACACACAAACTGCACTTTACATGGGACATTTGTGCCCAATGCAGTTGACATTGCCCAGTCATAACCCTACGTCTCCTGTGAAAGGCGTGTCGTACCCGGGTCCTGCATGTCTCTTACTCTCGCACTCCGCTCTGTCACGAACGCATCCCATCGCGTGACCAACGTCTCTACGGAAAAACAAGGCTCGAGTTTAGCTATCTCACTCCTCACTGGTCTGCCCCTGTCTCATCGTCTCAGCTCTTGCTAGCCGACATGGAGTATTACTGCAGGCTTTGTGACCGATATTTTCCACATGGCCAAGCGCTCGAGCAGCACATCCGGATGTCGAGCAGGCATATTTATTGCGCGCGATGCCGGCTCGAATATTCTTCACTGCACGCCAAACGACAGCATCTCGCGGCGTCCCGTGTGCATCATATTTGCAGAAGGTGCAACGACGAGCCAGATTTCTACAGCGAAGACGAGCTCGACCGGCACGAAGAGGACGAGCACAACATCTGCGGCATATGCGGGGCCGATTTTGCGACTCCGTCCAACCTAGAACATGTGAGTGCTCTATACACTTTATCACTTCATTTTAGAAAAAAAAGACTGCGGCTCATCCTCATGGTTCATCCTCCAGCACCAATTGGTGCACCGGCCGAAGGCCGTGCCCTGCCCTGGGTGCGACCGCATGTATGTTTCCATGTCCGCCATGTTGCTACATCTCGAGGCGGGAACATGCGTCTCGGGCATGAATGTGAACACACTCGCCGCACTTGCTCGCCACTGTAGCTACTCGCACGGATACGTTCTATATTCCCCGGGAAACGGCTTTGAATGTCCAACATGCGATACCTTTGCCACTCACGTCAGCGGGCTTTTTCAGCACATCGAGAGCAGCTGCTGCGACGGAAAGGTGACGCCCGGAACGCCACTGTGGAACTTCATACGGTTCCTACAACATTGCCTCGCATGGGAACGATAGCGAATGCATTAGGCTGCGAAAAAGGAAACGGCATTGACTTGCCTGGGAGGAATGTTCGTCGAGCGAGTGGCCGTCCCCAAAGGCGAGATCTAGCGAGGGATCTGATTAGGTTTCAAGACTCACATTTTTTCCGAGATGTACGTATGATTCTCTCCCCTTCGTTCTTCTTGACTATACTGGTCTTTTACTCACTCGTTTCCTCCAAGACGTCATGCTGTTCCACCCATGGACGACCTGCGAACGCGAAAACTGAGATAAATTCAACCGTAAGCATGTTACATTTATCATAACATGGAGAAAGTGATGCTAACTCGTTACGAAGGGTGGTAGTGGGTTACGGCTGTGCTCATATGGTATACTCTCTCCTTGTTCTACAATATCAAACGTTGCCACAGCGTACAGTATATCTATGTAAGAAGGCACAGCAGAACTTCTGCAAGGCGACCGTTACTGCTCATCGTCTGCAAAATCAGCGCCAAACAATGCAAGATGGCGCTTCTTCGCTTCAGTCTCCATGTGAAGTTTCTCCGGCGTGCGTGCCTCCACCTTCCATTTCGGCAGTTCCCAATCGCGCGGGAAGAAGCCAGCGGTCTCCCAGTCCAGGATGCACACGATCCGAAACGTAGCGGGGTCCACGAGAATGTTCTGGCGGTCCAAGTCCGTGTGCACAAAAACGAACTCGTCCGTCTCGGCCGTCACTTGCGGCCAGACCCGCTTGTCTTTCCACTTCCACAGCAGGTGTGGCACGATGACCGGCAGCGTTGGACTGGCACTGCCGATCGAGTTGCGGCGCAGCTGCTGTAGCTGCGGGGTGATGTCCGTCTCGAGCTGGGCTGTCACTCGTTCGATGGCAGTAGGCAGAAGCGACTCGCCGACATTTCGTAGTTCGATACCATCGAGGACCATACTCGTCTTGAGATGCACGAGTCCGTTCTCTTCCCACAGGCATACCACCTTGGGCACGGGAATCGAAGTATGCTTGGCGATAAACTGCAGAGCAGCCGCTTCGTTCCGAAGACGATCGGCGATGTAAGGAATCACCACGTGGTTGCCGTATATATCGAGGCCCATTTCATCTGCGTGTGGCTGCCGTTTGATAAACACGTTGGCTGTGAAGTAGTAGCTTATGCCTTTCGTGATACGAGTCGCCACGAGAGGTCCATCGCTCGGCGCGAACGAAGGCGCAAACTTGTCCTCCATGGGATGTGCCGCAAATAGCTCATCGGCGTCGTCTTTCATCTGTTGCAAGTGCGGGCCAAGGCCACGGATGAGGGACGCCATGGTTGCCAGTCGGCAATGCGAGTGTGCCCTGTGAGTGTAGTTTGAAACGGACAAGAGAGGCGGTGAAAAACGTGAAAAAGGTAAATGTAAGGAATCATACCACGTGACTGTCGTGTGTTACGGTTTTCGGGGAGAGGATGGGGAGGGTGTGCGGTCCGGACTTCAGGTCCCAGCCGCAGGAGACGTGAGCTGGCTGCAAAATGAAATTGTGTCCATCTTGCGAAGGCTACCTGCCCAGGCCCAAGGTCTCGATGCAGTCACCGACGCGCATGGCATTATTGTAGCCATGTGTGGCCAGGGAGCAGTCTGCCGTAGTCGTCATAGTTGATAGTTGGAAGATGCCAATATCCTGATTCCTCTCCCTCTTTCGGCCCAAGCAGAAAAGGCTCATTCTCTTATATACGCATTGATATCTCGTAAGATGATGCCCGAACACGTCTCGTAGTACGGCCAAACTCGCTCGCGGTCTCCGAACACCCCTTGTCGCTCAATGTTGCAGAATCCATCAAGAGGCGTATTCCCCCATTCTTACATACCGTACCTCCTCGCCGCGCCTCATGTTAATTTATAGTTCAAAATTGTATTTTCGTTCTCATGTACTTATTCCTTCGCCACGTTGTCTAAATAATTCTGTTCAGCTCCCCCCGACGGCGCATGACGCCGGCCGCCTTGTCGATGAATTGCTCTTCGTCCTTGGCGATGACGTCCTTATAGTACGGGTCCTCGAACGCCGCCTCAAACCTTTCGAGGCTCTCGATCTCAAAGACGGCACAACCGTCCCAGTTTTCGAGTTCCGTGTTGCGGCCGGCGCGTTCGGGGCCGACGACGGTGCGGTTGGCGTTCAGGGCCGGGTAGAGGTGGATCTGCGGGGCCACGGGCCGCGGGCCAAGAGCGTTAGCGAGAGGCGAGTGAGTAGGTATCGCGAGCGTAGTGAAGCGAGAATTTCTAACGCAACGCAATGCGATCGAAGCGAGGCCACAAGACAACGCGAAATGCGAGCAAAGCGAGGACACATGACAGACCGGGATCGACCTACCTGTCTATACTCCAGAAACCCGTGCTTCTGGGCCCAGGGCTTGACGAGCGGGCCGTGGACATGGACCCAGTGCTGGTAGAACTGCTCGTGGGTGAGACCCGGCTTGCGCTTCATAAACGCGACGATGCTGACCGTCTTCTTTGGTGTTTCGCTGGACATGGCGGCGGGGACTCGCGGCTGCGGAAAGCACGTTTGTTCGTGAACCTGAGGTCAAGGTCGGAGGAGACAACGTCGCTGATGGTATTATAATAAAGAGGGGACCTGACAGCTGGGAGCGGTGGCTCCGTTCGTGTTGTTAGCACCGCACTACGTGGACTTGAACATCCGTCGGAAAAGAGTACCCGCTCAAACGGGCGGGTAGCTGCTAAACCAAAAAAATAACTAACAATACAACGACCGCGACACCGAAATTTAGTGAAATACATGCAAGTGGATGCACAATGTCTGGGACTATAAAAGTAGTAAGTATGCACCGTGTGGCCCATCTACTGTCCGTCGATGAGATGCATAAAAGTATATGTATTCGTGCTAAGCAGCCCCTACAGTGCTAGTCTAGAAAAAGAGGCTCTGGCCTGAATAAGAAATAATGTATTCACAGCCCAGCGGGTTGCACGCCTCGTGCTCTCGCAGCTGGTCCAGGATAATGTCGCCCGCAGGCGGCCCGTCCCGCAGCTTTTCTTTGACATGAATAATCACGACCTTGAGGCCCTGGAGAGGCAGCGGCTGCGGTTCTGTTTGTGGTTGATACGGTACCGCCAATGTAACGTCGGGAATCGATGTTGGCGCTGTGGATGGTGCCTGCAGGAGGTCGTCGTCCAACGACGGCAGTGAGGGGTCCGCGTCCGAGAGGGAAGGTTGTGTTGCTGGCGTTGCCATATGGACGGGTTCGGCCTGCAATGCGTCGCTGCTCAATTTGGCAGGGACAGTCGGTGGCGGCACAGCGCTGGTGCTTTCTGTGGACGAAGCAACCACCACCCGTACCGGCTTCACGGTTCTCGGCGAAACAGGGTCTTCTGGTACTGAAGGCACTTCGATGGACACATGGCCCGCTGGCGCTGCTTCTGATGCGCTCTCGCCGGGAGCCGTTTCCAAGGCCTCTGTCTTGCGGCGACTGTGACTAGCAGTCCGAGAGGTGTTGCTGATGCTCATGCGGTCGTCGTCGCCTCCGTAGCGCTTGCGTTTCCGGCCGTCGCGGTCACGGTCGCGGTCGCGGTCGCGGTCGCGGTCCCGCTGGTACTGCTTTTGCTGTTCCTGGATCTCGGCCTGCTGTTGTTGGTGGGCGATGCGCGCATGAGCAACTTCCGCCGCCAAGTTGGCCATCTCTTCGGCCACAAACCGGGGCGTCAGATGGCCGTAAAGGCGGTCCAGCGGCTGCGAGTCGTCGTAGCTGCACTCGACAAAGATGGCGGCGAGGTTGCCAGCCGCAATCTTGGGCGCAGCCTCTTGCCAAATAAGGCCGTTGCGTGGTGACAACGAGATAGAATCCGGCTCAACGTCACCAAACATCAACACCTCCCGGCCCGTCTTCACATCGCGGATAAAGTAGGCGCTCGAATCGTAGACGCATATGCTTTCGCCTTGTGCTGCTTGTGGCATCAGCCCACCGAGACTGCCCTGGCGTGCAGCAGCGACACTACTGCCACCAGACAGAAGAGCCAAGCTTTCCCGTCGCTGTGGCCCAAGCAATGGTGTTGTCTGCTGGGACGGTGGCGGCTGTTGTGAGGGCTGCTGGCCCGGGAGTGTGGGCACCTGCTGCTGCTGCTGCTGCTGCTGTTGCAGCTGCGGTTGTATTGACAGCGGCACGAGGGGCGAGGAAGACGATGGTTGGTGGGACGCGAGACGAGGACTGAGGACACCGGCGTTCAAGGAGCCACTGCCCGCATCCATGCTTCCGAATCGTGTATTTGAGCCGCTGCCCCGGTGACTGTGCCGTTCAATACAATGGCCATGGCTCACGCCCCAGATCTTGACGGCCAGGCCGTCGCTGATCTCGACATACCCACGGCCTTCTCCGTCACCCAGAGCCGGCGAGCCGCCTTCGACGAGACGCATAAATGTGACAAGGCCGGCGCCGTTGTTCTCGTCCGAGAGGTTCGGCCAGATCACGTTGTTGAAGATGTGTGTCTTGAAGGCAGAGATCGTCGATGGGAGGCCGGCCAATCGCTTTGGCCGTGCTCCGGGCAGGCCAGCTGTGTTGATGACAAAGCCGGAAATGTGGTCGAGGTGCGGATGTGTGATGAGATACGTATCAACGAGAGCGCTTTGGACAAACGACGCATTGGCGGCTGCGGATGCGTGCGGCACCTCAAGGCCGGCAAAGGGCCCAGATGTAAGTGTGTATGGCAGAGATAATGATGGTGGTTCGGACGTATCGCCTCCCTCTTCGCTTGGCGAAGTCGCGGCAGCTGCACTCAAACCTTCTGGTAACGACTGCTCAAAAATGCGCGTAATGGAGCTCATCATCACGCCGGCATCCAGCGCGACAATCGAGCCTCGTCGCCATCCTTCAGCAGTCGACCGCACGAGGAAGGCGGTCGTATTGGATTCGAACGGCCCACCTCCAGATCCCTTGAAGTTGAATACGTCAGCTCCAAGTCCACAAAAGGTTTCTTCACGAAGATCATGTGCGAATACAGGACAACAAGCATTGAAAGTACAAAACGAACGGCAGTGGCTAACGGAGAGGAAACAAAAGTAATGGGTGACGCTAAATGGCGCGTTTAGGACCAGTAGACCAGGTTTGGTCACAGTTGCTTTCCTTTGTTGCCTTGCGTCCCTTTGTCCTTCGTTTGTGAAGCGCAAGAGCGCAAGCGCAAAGCGTGCCTGTTGCCAGGCCCTGGCTCTGAACTTTTGCGCCTTCGTTTGCTATGCCGATAAGGATTTGCAAGACGCGACGTAATTTGAGCGCTGGCAAATGAATACCCAACGTGGGAGAGCCTGGCAACCGGAGGCAGTCGTCCACTGGGACAACGAATGCCCAGGACGAGTTGTGCTAAGAAATAAACCGCAGCGACGCAAGTCAACTTACAAGAACAATGACTTGCAGAGCTGGCGAGCTGGAGGATCCGGCCGACGCATCGGGCCCGCCGCTGCCACTCATCGTATTACGAGGTGCGATTCCAGATAGCCAGTGGGCAGTGGTCTCGTGCCTATGGCCGGCGTTCGTCCGGTGTACTCCGCATGCGCTTCCTCAATTGGTATGGTGAGGGGGCCTTCACGCGCGTTGCATTGGCGCTCCTTGACGTGGTAAGATGATTGAACGACTGAAAGGAAGATCGATGGCGGGCGAAAGCAGCCCTCTATGTACGACTTAAGAATGCGGGCAAGCGACTGGGCGGAGAGGCATGTGCCACGAGACAAAGAGACAATGAGACGAATAAAAAGGTGAAAGATGTCGAATGCGCCCGGTGGCGGGTGTTGGCTGTGGTGAAGCGTGGGTGCAGAATGCGCTCTCACAGCAAAGAGCTTCCTGGCGAAGGCGTTTGTATGCGGGTCGATAAGATGCGACGATATGAATGGGCGGCACAACTGATGTTTGGTAATGGGAGTCCAGGAAGAATCGCGAAGAACGGGCGAGCAGATGGGCGTGACGAGCGATCAATCGCTTAATGTTGAAAGGGGATGCAGGGGCATATATATGCAAAAGGAGCAGACGAGAACGCAGTGAAGGAGGTCAAAAGGGACGAGAGAAGGCAAGACGACGTCAATGTCCCAAAACGAATGGTAGTCACGAGCTACCGTGGGACTTTTGTGGACACTGGGAAGGAGCGCTAGAAGCCTAAAGGTGTTAGTTTCCCTCAGGTGCCAAAAAAAGAGTGGGCAAGCGCGGCCAAGACGGTGTGTTACAAAGGGGAAGGAAGTATGGGGCCGTGAATGGAATGGGATGCACAAAGTTGAGGCCAGACCCACGCAAGTGCAAAGAGAGCGAAGATCTTAAATGCGCCCAGGGAAAGTGCACAGGCGTTCTAGCTGTTGGGATGGGGGCCACAGACGTTGCAACGGAGCAAGCCGGGGAAGGTGCGGCCAAGGTGAACGTGCCCCACGAGATAATCATAGGGAAAGTGAAAACGACCTTCCCGTTTGCTCTTGCCCAAATGTGAAATGTGTGTCGCGACTCATTTGGACAAGCTTCTCATAGGGACCGGTGTAGTGGTACAATAGAAAAATAGAAAAAGATCCCAGTGTCCTGGATTTGCAGGGGGTCCGTCCTTTCTTAATTGCTCTCCTGGCTGGCGTACATCCGCCGTCTCTCTTTGTGTACCCCAAAACACGGCGCTCTTTCCTTTCCGGCGGGAGGTGTTGTTTCTTTGATCGTGGCTTCCTTGCGGACTGTTTGGCCCCTACGTGAAGAAAGTGCGCAACGCAAGGGCTTCCGCAAGGCAAGAGCAAGCGAGCAAGGTGGTCCACCTACTTTTACGAACCGCACGCCGTGATCGTGCTTTTTTAACATCTTAACGAAGGGAAGGAGCAAGTGGTAACATAATCGTGACAGGGAAAGAGGCGCTTGAATGTGAAGTCCGTATCAGTGGCTTGACGGGCTCAAACGGCCTTGTTAATGGCGACTTTGTCTTCAACGCAAACGTGGCAGTCGATTGTTCAGCATCCCAGGCTCTGTCCCACATATTCTGTACATTGGCTTAAACTACGGGCACAGAGCCGTAACAGGGGTGGCGTCCCAACATTGTGAAACTGGAAGAAGACGAAATCAAACAGCAAGTTCACCCCATCCAGCCGTCCACAGCAGATCATTAATACAAAAATAAATCAATGAGACCAACTGTGGACGACCAAAGCGACGGTAAGTCTGGTGCGGTAACCTACCTCTGTACTTGTACTCCTTAGTATTGAAGACATTGGCGTTTCTCAAGCTACGCGACCACCTTGCTTTGTGAAATTAGTTCGAGAGTGAGCACTTCAATTAATCGTTTTGGGTTGACCTCCGATCATGGCTGCTTTGCTTGTAAAACACAGCCAATCGTGCAACCTGAGTGTCCAAACTTGGGGATTTGCTTGCAGGTTTGCTTGCAGGTTTGTTTGCAGATACGTGAAAAAGGTACCTGAGCCTCCTTACTGCCAAGGGAGACGTGCATGCAGCGTCGGCTTACTTGTGAGCCAAAAGGGGCGGATCCCAAGCCATAGCGCCTTTCACCGCGCCGGAGAGACCGATACACAAAGGGCGAGTACGTCTCTGCCAGCTGACAGACAAGAAATTGTCCATGAATCGTAGCATATGCATTTCCCATGTAGAAATTGTACGAAGAGAAATTATGTGAGCAGACAACAGCTCAAAGGCAATATGTGGTCGGTCCCGCCGCAAAAGTAGTACTGTGGCGCAAGGCGTACCAGCCGTTGAGATGTAGAGTTTCGACCGTTGACCCAAGCCGGAAAGGCAGAATGAGGCTCGCGTTTTCAAGAGCCTTCGAGGTATCGTGGCCAGACGCAAATGCAAAATGTGGGGAGCTACTCGAGCTGGCCTGTGCGCAGCTGAGATCTCCCGAGTTGAGGTCGACTGCCTTTTCTTGATGTGGAACGACTGAGGTGTCATTTTCGGAGCTCGCGGTGTGATGGTGTCCGCCGGAGAGACCACACGACAACACACAATGCCAACGGGCAAATCATCACATAATACCATTCTACAAACCGATTCGAGATGGCGGGGGCCGTGTCGTGTGCCTCATTCTCGAAAAGGAAATTCTACAGTGAGAAAACAACGGGACAGGGCAGCACCAACCAATACGGTCGCGGGCGATTAACACGAGGAGATGACGAGCATTTGAACGAGGGATCAACAACGGCGAAAGGGCATCCTCCGTAGGGAAAGGATGCCTGCTCACCTTTCCCCACTAACAGCCTCTCGGGCCGCCCGAAAGCGGGGCAAAAGCTGTAGCTGGTGGTCTGGCCAGGCTAGTGGACATCACTTCAACCTGCATATGGAAATAAGACATCGTGAGTTTTGTTTGCCTGTCAAGCGAACAAAGAAGTATTTTCAGGGCTGTTATCTCGGCTGCCTGCGGAAAGGGGGGTGGGGCGACATTTTGGTTTCGGAATGAGTGTGAACGGGTGAGGAGGTTGAAAAGACATTGACGTAGCGGGGAATTAATGATGTTTATTTGTTCTTTAATAATGGTGTCACGACAATATTTATAACTTTTTGGGGGCATGTATTTTCTTTTCGGGATGAATTTTTTTCATTATTTATATATCTTTTGTAAAGCAGTCTGTGACAATTTGCATTTTAGGATTAAAAAAAAAAAAAAAAAAAAAAAAAAAAAAAAAAGAAAAAAACAGACGAAACTTGACTAAACAAAACAGCAAACAATAACAGTAGAAAACAAAACCTACCACTTACCGGGACTTACCTGCCTAGACCTTCCAGAAGTCAAGGCAAAAAATATGTAAGGCATAACCTGAGCACAGTGACGCTACTGATTGTAAAAGAAGCCCTCTGGAAGCTGCTCGCCGCCGGGCTGCATGCTCATATAGTCGAGGTACTCTTGGTAGTTAACGTCGGCAAACAGGTCCTCTTGAAACAGCCCGTTACCGAGAGTGGCGCCGGCACCGGCCGTCGCCAGGTCCGTAGCATCGCTCTCCACAGTGACGGGCGTCTTTGGTTTTTCATTTGCAGCGAGCCCTGTGTGCGAGGCCGTTGGCTCAACCGGCGTGGGGCCCGTGTTGTGCCGGCTCATGCTCCGTGTCACACGACGGCTGGGCGTGAGCGGCTCGTCAGCGGGCGCTGCGTCGGCACTAGCATAAGGCTGCGGACGGCTCCACTTTTGCGGGCTATTGGCCAGGGCGTCGCCTAGGAGCAGCTGCGGGTCGATGAGGTGGTCGGGGATCACGTTCCGGTTCTGGGCGCTATTGCTGACCTGGGACGCGCGTGCCGAGACGAGACGGGCAGCACTCTCGCGGCGAGCCTGGGTGTCACGCAGCCTGTACGGCGACGATGGACTGGCACCGTAGGCAGGAGCAGCCAGGGGAGGCAGACCAGTCTGCGGCAGGATCTGCTGGTCGTTGAAGATGAACTGGTTGTATGCGCCCCAGAAGGAATTTGCATCCAGGCCTAGATTGGCCATGGGCATGTCGAGAGGGCCATACTGAGCGGGCACGGGCACAGGCGGCGCCAGATCGGTGCGCACATTGAGGCCCAAAGTTGCGGCACGGACACTACGCGAGGGCGTCTGCGTCGACGTGGCATATGGAACGAAGTTTCCAAAGCCGTAGGGGGTGTACGTTGCATGGGTCAGCGCTGGAGCTGGAGCTGGAGCGGGCACCGTCATAGGAGCAGGCATCCCGATATACTGCGTAGCGTGCGCCTTGGACGGACGCCGAGGGCGACGACGGGACGACGGCAATGGGTGGCGGGTGGCGGCAGCAGCGGAGTTCGTGGCCTCGGTTCGGGGTCGCTTGGGAGCGGGACTCGGCCGCGTGACAATCACCTCGACGTCGCTGTCTGCATCATCACTATCCTCGCTGCTGTCGCTCAGCGCCTGCTTGCGCTTCTTCTTGATGCTGGCCTTGTGCATGGCGACCTTGCGGAGGTTGCCACAGTGCTTGGAAATGTCAAAGCCGTTGCGCCGTTCACGCATCTTTTGACGGGTGATTGGTTGTGTCTCCATCTTCTTGACCGTGAGGAAGTTGTAAAGGCGATCGCTGCTCGGGCGGGCGGCCTTCGAGATGGAGATGTTGTTGAGCACAAACCGGTCGTAGTGGGCGCTCTTCCACTCGTTGTAAGCGCCCAGCAGCGTACGACCGGTACCATCGCGGTGGAGGCTCATGGGGTTGCGCTGCTCCAGAGGAAATTCGCGGACATCCGGCTGGACATCGGCAAACGTCATCAGCTCGGCCATGGGGATCATCTCCTCCAGGCAGAAGAGGTGCATATAGCCAGCTACGTAAAAGGGGTCAAAGCGGCCATTGGCCGTCTCGGTCGGGTGCTCATCAAAACAAACCTGGTACATACCGCGGGCAATCTTGTTGCGGGTCTCCGGGCAGTCGGAAGCGCGGCACATGGCCGATGTGAGGGTCGGGCAGCGGTCGCTGTGCATGGTTGGTTTGTTTTGGATCCACAGCCGGAGAGAGATGCCCTTCTCAGCACAGCCACGAATGTAGGCCTCGAGGATCTTGCGGTCAAACTTGACATTGGATTTCAGCTCACCTTCCTTGTTGTAGTCGATACGGACCTTGTCCTTGCCGTCGCCGACCGCCCAGTTGGGCCGCCTGGGGAATTTGTCGTACCAGTCATACTGGCCGATGCGGTTCTCGCTGTTCTTGTCGCGGGCATGGCTAATCCGGGCACCCGGCGGGGGCGGATTGGCCTTGGGCTCGCACTGTGTCAAGATGGGGATGTTGTACAGTTGATGGAAGAGAGGTGCCCCTGGAACAGGCGTGGTGTATGCCTGTGTGCGAGCCGTCGCGGCGGCCGCTTGCTGGTCTAGGAACCGCTGGAGCAGATGCTGTGGGTCGGTAGTTTGAGAGCCAGGGCGTCGAGTGGTCTTGATAATCTTCCACAGCTGCTTCTTTTGATCACGAGTGAAGTCGGGGACCAAGACGGTCGAGCCCTCAGACGAGAGCGTTTCCAGTGAAGTACGAGCACCCACTTGCTTAGGTGTTGCTGGCATGGGCAACGCCATTGGCAAGGGATAAAAGGAGCTAACGGCGTTGTTGGTCATCGGGTGAGGAGGCGTGATTTCTTGGCCGGAGCCGAAAAGGTCGTCCAGCTCTTGGTCGGTGGGAGAGTACATGTTGTAAAGTGATCGAATGAAAAGGTGAAAGAAGAAACGTAGATGGGTAGCAACGTGCTGAAAGTATATTGGTGTCGAACTCCAAAGAATACGTTGTGAAAGAAGGATTGTAGCAGCACAGCTGAACTACTTGACGTTTCGTGAATAGGATGATTGTTGTAAGGTTGTTGAGGAATGTTACAATTGTATAAAAGAAAGACGTAACATGCATGGGGGACAGGTGATTTTTATATCCTAAAGTTCGGGGACAACAAAATGTGCACAATCGTGCTGTTCCGTTGAAGGAAGGCTGTTCATGGAGCAATAGCAGCTTGAGGCACTGCCATTGTCTAAAAGGTTGTAAGGTGAACATAGGACTGGACATAGGAAGTAAACAAACAAGCCAGGTCCATGAAAGGGCCATTGTTCGGTTGGCTTTGTTGCGGCTCATTGGCTTGTTCAATTCATTCTGTCGTGCTTTGTTGTTCTTTGGTATAAAAGGCAACATGAGCAACAATGAAATTAATGAACAAAGTAACAGAGAACAACGTGCTGAAAGAGAGAACAAACAAAAAAAATAGTTGTAAAAGGGACTAAACAAAAGGTTGAATGAGAATCTGCAAAGAACATTGCCTGAAACTATTCATTGTGATGTTGTTTTCGACAATGTATGGCCTTGAGAGGTCACGTCCGAAGAACGAGTAAAATAAAGTAAAAATTGACAACTTACATGTCGTGGAACAAAGCGTTTGGCAAAGTTGACCACTTCCCCTTTGGCCCCCTGCGGCTGGCATGCATTGCGTAACGTGTGTCTGTCGCACGAGAAGGTACTCGTGCAATACACCATGGCAGACGCGGTTTGAGACGCTCGACATGCCAGCCTTTACTCGGTTATCGTCTTGTTGCTTTATCTCCGCAGTTTCTCAACTTTGACGGCCCGCATGAGACTTTTTAGTCGATGACCAAGACCAGACGAGACCCTAGACCTGGCAGTAAGCGCGGACGTTTTAAGGGTCAGGAACGCAGCCGTGTTCCAGGGGTATACAGGATATCATGTCGTGAAGCTCAAATTGTCGTATTCTTTCTCTCCTGTCCCTGGCTGTGGTGTTTGTGCCGCGCCCTGCATTAATTAGTCTCTCTGCAACGTCGGGACGGGAAAGGAGTCGACAGGTGCGACAGCAACACAAGACTTGTCTGCACATATGCGAGTGCTGTTGTTGGCAAGTTTGGGAGCACCGAAACGTGAGAAAGCATTGAAATCAGAACAATCTATCTGAAAACTCGAGAAGTGGCAGAAAAGATCAGGGGAGGGAGGCATAAGAAGGTAGAAGGTCGACGGCAGGCGTAACGGCCATTTGAACCAAGGGGCAAAGCTGCCGGAATAGGAAGTCGCAAAGGACCCCTATGACCAACCGAGGAAAGGGCAAACCAAAACGAGCCAACTTCCCAACATCAGGGAAGCCACGACGGAGCTACTCAAACCGTCAACGAACTGAAATATGTACTTGGCGGAAGGAACGAGCGGCTCGAATTATGCTACTTTGTGGATTGTACGGGTAAAGAGCGACCGGCTGGACGGCGTCTGCACCCAAAACGCTACACCAACCCCGTATTTACCCCACCACCGCAGGAAAACGCAGGAAGTGCTGCAGCTTGCGGCCGTTTACGAGGAAACAAGGTTTACCTCTCCAGCACAGCATACCGTGCGGGGGCTGGCACCAGACAGTGTACATCCTGCCGAGGCCCTGCTAAAGACAACGTGATAGTCAACCCAGTCCGTGCGAAAACTTTCAACTGCACTGGGCTTGTCCGTCCCAACTATCATCGCTGACTGCACCTTCCCACATTTTCCCACGTTTCGCGGGTTTGACAACAACGCCAGGCCCTGGCCATTAGCCCCCCCTCCCCCATTTCACAACCACCAGATACAAAAAAGCAGGAAACGAAAGGAAACGAGCACCATTTTCCTCCCGACGCCGTGTTACGTCACGAGAGTGCCGCACACCAGCTGAGGACCCTTTACGACGTACGCCGTCCTTTTCCTCGTTTCCGTTCCCTGTCTTCGCCAGCATCTTTACGTTGGCCATTCCGACGGCCGCCCAGAGGCTTCATTTTCGCACTCGGCTCGCCAGCTCCTCCTCACGATATTTCTGACCCGGCAGCATCCATTTTCTTGCGATACCCATTCGAGGCGAGCACTCGGCTGTTCTGCAGGCGACTCTTGCCGCCCGTCCCTGTTTGTGCCCGCGTGTGTTGTGGACGCTGCCCGACACAGACCGGCCGACGGCGCGTGACAACTTTGCGGCCCTCGGCTTCGGCAATTGTCTCCTGACGACCGTTGTTTACCGCGACCGACGATACTTTACCGGCCTTTTGAAGAGGCTGAGAAACGTCTGTCGAGCTTCCACCGACCAGGACACGAGACGCCATGGCCGAGCTCTCGCCGGAGCTGCAGGATCGGCTTGACGAGCTGGAGAAGGAGCTGGAGGTATGTGACGACCAGGAAGCCCCGGAAGAGCAGCAGGATCCGATACGAGGTAGCTCGAGGCACTTTGGGATAGCATAGACTGCTGCGTGGGGATTCGTATGCGTCGTGGAGCCCTGGCTGTGACAGGAAAACTGCTAACCGTGGCCCGTTTCACGCCCACAGGAAGGAGATATCACACAGAAAGGGTAAGCTGGCAGATCCCAGCCATCAATACCATTTTTTTTCCGGCGGCACGAACCCGTTTTCTGACTCTCCGTTCCTCTCACAGATACCAGAAGCGGAGGACACAGCTCTTCTCTCAGTTTGGCGTGCCCCCAGGCTTCCAGGCCCTCCAGACATCCGGCAGCAATGGCCCTCAGTCACCAACAGAAGGCGGCCAGCAGCAAGACCATCGCGATGCCTCCTTTGCGGCGCTGAATGCCAACTCGTCCGTCGCGTCTTCCTACTCACCCGCCCAGTCCGCTGCGGCCGAGCTCCGCGTCCACTCGCCGTCCTACCCAACAAACCTTCTTGCACCCGGCGGCCCAATTGCGGAGCAGCGCGCCCACCTTTCTCCCCACGACTCGCTCTTCCTTTTCCCTTCGTCTCCGCAAGGCGGCAACGACAATCGTCTCTCCGCTGTAGGAGGCAGTGGCAGCGACCCGGCGCGGACGGCCACCGACATGTCTCGATCAGCGACCATGGTGTCCACCGACTACGCGTTCAACCCGGACAGCCAACAGCAGCGTTACGACGACGGAAGCGACGGATATGGCGTGAAAGATGGGGCCAAGACCATGCAGTCCATGCAGTCCATGCAGAACCCCTACGACAGCCGCGCAGGCAGTATGCTCGACACACAGCAGGCCTATTTCTCCGACTTTGCCGGGCAACAGTCCTACGACCAGGGGCCAATGTCCGGTGACTACGGCGGCGCGCAGCGCTACTCGAGCGGCGGCGGCGATCCCTTCTCCCCGATTGCGCTGGGCCATGGCCCGCGCTACCCGGTCGGCGATGCTTTCTCGCCCACGGCCGCGACCGCGCCGCCCATGCTGACGGCCAACGACCTCCCGCCACCCGACGCCCTGCAGTACCAGTTGCCGCTCGAGCCGCGGGACGTGCCCTTTGCCATCTACGACCCCCACGACGGGAACACACCCATGTCCAAGTTCGACAACATTGCCGAAGTCCTGCGCCACCGCGGCCGCACGACCTCCAAGATGCCCGCCTACTGGGTCCTCGACGTCCGCGGCAAAGAAATCGCGTCCATCACATGGGAGAAGCTGGCCGCGCGTGCCGAGAAGGTGGCCCAAGTCATCCGTGACAAGAGCTCGCTGTACCGTGGTGACCGTGTGGCGCTCGTCTACCGCGACTCCGAGATCATTGAGTTCGCGATCGCGCTGCTCGGCTGCTTCATTGCCGGCGTCGTGGCTGTGCCCATCAATGATTTCAACGACTACCAAAAGCTGAACCTGATCTTGACCTCGACACAGGCCCATCTGGCGCTGACCACCGAGAACAACCTCAAGACGTTCCAGCGCGACATCACAACACACAAGCTGACCTGGCCCAAAGGTGTTGAGTGGTGGAAGACCAACGAGTTCGGCAGCTATCACCCGAAGAAGAAGGACGACATGCCGCCGCTGTCCGTCCCCGACCTGGCCTACATTGAGTTCTCGCGCGCCCCCACGGGCGACCTGCGCGGCGTTGTCCTGAGCCACCGCACCATCATGCACCAGCTGGCGTGCCTGAGCGCCGTGGTGTCGACCGTCCCTGGCAACCGGCCGAACGACTCGTTCACGGGCTCTACGCTGCGCGACAAGAACGGCCGGCTGATTGGCGGCGGCGCGAGCAGCGAGATCCTCCTGTCGTACCTCGACCCGCGCCACGGCATCGGCATGATTCTGGCCGTGCTCTTTGCCGTGTACGGTGGCCATACCGTCGTCTGGCTGGAGCAGAAGACGACCGAAGTCGCCGGCCTGTACGCCCACCTGATCTCCAAGTACAAGGCCACCCTCATGGCCGCCGACTACCCCGGCCTCAAGCGCGCCGTGTACAACTACCAGCAGGACCCCATGACCACGCGAAACTTCAAAAAGGGCATGGAGCCCAACTTCCACTCCGTCAAGATGTGTCTGATTGACACGTTGACTGTCGACCCCGAGTTCCACGAGATCCTCGCCGACCGCTGGTTGCGGCCGCTGCGCAACTCGCATGCTCGCGAAGTCGTCGCCCCCATGTTGTGTCTTCCAGAGCATGGTGGCATGGTGATCAGCATCCGCGACTGGCTGGGTGGCGAAGAGCGCATGGGCTGCCCTCTCAAGCTGGATCTCGGCGACGGCAACGACTCGGACGACGACGATTTCGACGGCAAGAAGGCCGATGCGTCGGACATGGTGACGCCCATGGCGGAGGGTGGTTTCGGCTCACTGCTGGGTGGCGGCACGACCGGCAAGAAGGAGCAGCGCGCTGCTAACGAATTAAGCGAAGTGCTCCTCGACAGCGAGGCCCTCAAGACGAACGAGGTGGTCGTGCTGGCTATGGGCGAAGAGGCGCGCAAGCGGCACGGCGAGGCCGGTGCTGTGCGTGTTGGCGCATTTGGCTACCCGATCCCCGACGCCACGCTCGCCGTCGTCGACCCGGAGACCTGTCTGCTGTCCTCGCCGCACACGATTGGTGAGATTTGGGTGGACTCGCCTTCCCTGTCGGGCGGCTTCTGGGCCCTGCCGAAGCACACAGAGCAGATATTCCACGCCCGGCCCTACAAATTCGATCCGGGCGACCCGACACCGACAGCCGTGGAGCCCGAGTTCCTTCGGACGGGCCTTCTCGGCACCGTCATCGAAGGCAAGATCTTTGTTCTCGGCCTCTACGAGGATCGCATCCGCCAAAAGGTCGAGTGGGTTGAGCCGGACAACGACATCGTTGAGTACCGCTACTTTTTCGTGCAGCACATTGTCTTTACGATCCTGCGCACGATCCCCAAGATCTTTGACTGCTCCGCCTTTGACGTCTTTGTCAACGACGAGCACCTGCCAATCGTCCTCCTGGAGACGACATCGGCCTCGACGGCGCCGGCCACGACCGGCGGTCCGCCGCGCCAGCTCGACACGGCCCTTCTCGACTCGCTGGCCCAGCGGTGCATGGACGTTCTGATGCAAATGCACCACCTCCGCGTGTACTGCGTCATGATCACCGCGCCCAACGCGCTGCCGCGCGTGCTGAAAAATGGCCGGCGCGAAATCGGCAACATGCTGTGCCGGCGCGAGTTTGACAACGGCAACCTGGCCTGTGTGCACGTCAAGTTTGGCGTCGAGCACGCCGTGCTCAACCTGCCGTTTGGCGTCGATCCCATGGGCGGCATCTGGTCGCGCATCGCCTCCGACTCGCGCGGCCACATCCTGGCGGGCGCGGACAACCAGTACTCGGGCATCGACCGCCGCGAGGTCGTCATGGACGACAAGACGAGCACGCCGCTCAACAACTTCAACAGCATCACCGACCTGATCCAGTGGCGCGTGGCGCGGCAGGCCGAGGAGCTGGCGTACTGCACCATTGACGGCCGGGGCAAAGAGGGCAAGGGCATCACATGGAAGAAGTTTGACACGCGCGTCGCCGCCGTCGCGGTGTACCTCAAGAACAAGGTGCGCCTCAAGGCGGGCGACCATGCGGTGCTCATGTACACGCACTCGGAGGACTTTGTCTTTGCGGTGCACGCCTGTCTGAACCTGGGCATTGTCGTGATCCCCATGGCACCCATGGACCAGAACCGGCTGTCCGAGGACGTGCCGGCGTTTCTGCACCTCGTGGCCGACTTCAAGGTGCGCGCGGTGCTTGTCAACAGCGAAATTGACCATCTGCTTAAGATGAAGACGGTCTCGCAGCACGTCAAGCAGTCGGCGCAGGTGCTGAAGCTGTCGGTGCCGAGCATCTACAACACGTCGCGGCCGTCGAAGCAGAACAGCGGCCTGCGCGACTTGGGCATCACCATGAACCCGGCCTGGGTGCAGGCCAACTACCCGGCCCTGATCTGGACCTACTGGACGCCCGACCAGCGGCGCGTGGCCGTCCAGCTGAGCCACGACACCATTTTGGGCATGTGCAAGGTGCAGAAGGAGACGTGCCAGATGACGAGCTCGCGGCCCGTGCTGGGCTGCGTGCGCAGCACGACCGGCCTGGGCTTTGTGCACACGTGTCTCATGGGCATCTACATTGGCACGCCGACGTACCTGCTGTCGCCTGTCGAGTTTGCGCAGAACCCCGTGTCGCTCTTCCTGATCCTGTCCCGCTACAAGATCAAGGACACGTACGCCACGCCGCAGATGCTGGACCACGCCATGTCGAGCATGCCGGGCAAGGGCTTCACGCTGCACGAGCTCAAGAACATGATGATCACGGCCGAGAGCCGCCCGCGCGTCGACGTCTTCCAAAAAGTGCGCCTGCACTTTGCGGCCACGGGCCTGGACCGCACGGCCATCAACACGGTGTACTCGCACGTACTCAACCCCATGGTGGCGTCGCGCTCGTACATGTGCATCGAGCCCATTGAGCTGTGGCTCGACACCAAGGCGCTGCGCCGCGGCCTCATTATGCCCGTCGACCCGGACGCCAACCCGCGCGCCCTGCTCGTGCAGGACTCCGGCATGGTGCCCGTGTCCACGCAGATTGCCATTGTCAACCCCGAGAGCCGGCTGCTGTGCCTGGACGGCGAGTTTGGCGAGATCTGGGTCGACTCCGAGGCGTGCGTCAAGTCGTTTTACGGCTCCAAGGACGCGTTCGACAAGGAGCGCTTCGACGGCCGCACCGTCGACGGCGACCCCAGCATCCGCTATGTCCGCACGGGCGACCTGGGCTTCCTGCACAGCGTGAGCCGGCCCATCGGCCCCAGCGGCGCCCAGGTGGACATGCAGGTGCTCTTTGTGCTCGGTAACATTGGCGAAACATTTGAGATCAACGGCCTGAGCCACTTCCCCATGGACATTGAGAACTCGGTCGAGCGCTGCCACCGTATCATTGTGCCCGGCGGATGGTACGTTCCTTTCTACCTTTCTGACTCTATTCATTTTTTCTTCTTCTTTTTCTTCTTTTTTTTCTTTCCCGTATACTAACACCTGTAGTGCCGTCTTCCAAGCCGGTGGGCTCGTGGTGGTGCTGGTCGAGGTTGCACGCAAGGCCTATCTGGCCTCCATTGTGCCCGTCATCGTCAACGCCATCCTCAACGAGCACCAGATCATCGTCGACATTGTGGCCTTTGTCAACCGCGGCGACTTCCCGCGGTCCCGCCTGGGCGAGAAGCAGCGCGGCAAGATCCTGGCCGGCTGGGTCTCGCGCAAGATGCGCACCATGGCCCAGTTTGCCATCCGCGACCTGGCCGCGCTCGACCAAGACAGCAATGTGATGGGCAACAGCAGCAGCAGCGGTGCGGCCACCGATGCCAACCGGGCCAGTCTCAGTAGTATGCGCAGCGGCGGGCCCGGCGGCAGCGGCGGCGCACCGTCGTCTGCCGGCCCCCCACAGATCCTCGAGCAGCGCGAACTGGAGCAGCAGCACGACAACGAGTTTGCGTATGGCGCCGAGAGCAGCGGTGACGGCACCCGCACCAGCAGCGTTGGTGACGTCAGCGGTGGCGGCAACATCAACAGCAACAACGACAACGACGGCCTCCCACCGCCCAACTTTGGCGCGGTCGAGATGCCGGCGGACGACAGCGTCGTTGTCACGCGGCCGTCAACGGCACGAGACGGCCAGGACGGCTACAGCGACCACGAGTACGAGTACCAAAACGAAAACGATGTTCTCACGCCGACGCAGGCCCATGCGGGCGGCCTGCTGGCCGTGCGCAACGTCGACGCCCATGCGGACTCGAGCTCCGACGATGATGCCAAGCGCCCGCCGCCGCACATTGGACGCAAACCTGTCCCACGCAAGAGTGTCCAGTCACCACCCCCCAGCGCACCAGGACAAGCACCACCACCACCGCCAATTCCACAACAGCAGCAGCAGCAGCAGCAGCAGCAACACGACATGTTCTTGCCGGGCGTGGACGGCCGGCCGTCGATGAACAATGACTGGCGGTTGAGCCAGGTCATGTACAGCAACGATGGCGGTGTCGTGGGCGCCGCCGACGCCAGTGCGGGTGGCCGGCCCGTGTCGGTGTCGGACGACGAGTGGGCGCGCGATGCGATGCACGGTTTGAGTTTGGCCGACAACGGCGAGCAGAGGTAGTTCTTGCGGGATGACAAGGTTCGATTCTTTATGAGCGGCATAGCAGGTGCAGCACTACGGCTTTCGTCTTTGTTTCGTCCTTTACGTTTCTATTCATTATGTAGTTTTCTGGTTTCTTGTGGCAGCTCATGCTTTCCGTATTGTTATTGTTTAGTTCACATGACTTGGATTCCCCTCCTGTTCGCCTTGTCGAGAACCAACACTGCATCTTTGCCATGCCCGTATTCTGTCGACTCTCTTCTTGGATTTTGTGCAAGGTCTTCGTGCTCCCTGCAGCAACTTTACACAATAGACAGCACACCTCACAATTCATCCCGCTCAGGCATACCCAAGCTGTCCCGACCCGCCTCCCGCTCTGCCCGCGTATGCTTGCGGTCCGAACGCCGCGCATTGCGCATCAGCGCGTCCCACAGCAGCCGCCGGTCGCGCCCGTGGTCCGACTCTAGCACGTGCTCCGTGCGGATCTTGAAGTAGATGTCCACCTTGCCGTGCTCCGGGTCCGGCTTGGAGTGCTCAAACGGCCACGCTACCACCGCGTCGTCCTTGGCCGCCGGCACGTACCGGCTGAGGTCGGCAAACGAGTCCTCGCACTTGCCGCCGCCCTTGGCGTTGAACAGCGGCAGAATCGGATACAGCTGGCCCGGCGCGAAGAACACCACCTTGTCGCGGTCGGCCACCTCCGGCAGCGTCCACGTCGACGCCGCCGCCCCCTCCGTCGGGATGGCCCGCAGCGGCGCCGCGGGCTCCGTCGCCGTGGCCGCCGCCTTCTTGGACTTCTTTTGGAACACCATGAACCGCCACGTGCGCCCGTCGTCCATCTCCGGCCGCCGCATCTCGTGGTCCTCGATCCACTTGCGCACGTACACGGGCAGCTCGCGCCACTCCATCATCAGCAGGTCGCGCTGCATGCCGCCGTGGTCGACGCCGTCCCAGCTGCCCGGGTACGTGCGGCCCGCAATGAACTTCTCGATGCCGTCCGAGAACGGGTAGAGCGGATGGCCCTCGCCGTTGCGCAAGTCGCCGAGGCGGTAGTTGCGCGCGTGGAACTTCTTGACGACGTTGCACTTGGTCTCGAAGCCCATGGGCGGGTCGCCGTGGTCGGGGAAGGGGCGGTGCCAGTTCCAGTGGGCGACGATGGGGTACTCGTGGGCGTCCCAGTTGATAAAGTGCTTGCCGTCCTTTTCGTACGCGTGCGTCGAGCCGAGTCCCTGCAAGACGAGGAAAAGCAGCACACTGGCGCTGCCAGTTTTCATCGTGATTGAGGATGGAGTGGTTTGGAGAGAGACAAATATGTTGCCAAATGCAGGTATTTGGTTGGCACGATCCAGCCGGTTGTCGTGGTCGTCGTCGAGCGCGCTCTCCAAAACAGGGAGGTGTGGGCAAAGTGTAGTGACCGGAGAACGGCTTGACACAGCCTGGTGATGCTTTTATCATGGGCTGTACAGAAAAGGAATAACGAACCAGCCACGAAACGGTTTCGGGTATTCGCGCGTTTCTAGCATGTGCCAAAAGCCTTGCGGTACTAGTATTGCCGCTTCAATCTGTCCATCATGCTTCCTATTGCTGTCCTCTTTGGCCTCTGCCCCATCCCCTTCGGGTATTAACGAGGCCCAGCTATGTCAGAGCAACATGGGGAAAGGCATATGGAGGCGGGGGAGCGGAGGGAAGCCTGGCCGGCAATCGAAGACAAGGAATAGCAACATTTTTCCCGACTTCGGGCCAATGAGACGCTGTGCACGTATTGTCCGTTTTGTTAGTATCCCCATTATCGTGTGCCGGCATATTTGGGGGTCTCGATGCGAATACAGGCTAATATGAGTGGTGCAGCGTCGTGATCGCGTGTGGCTTAATATTTGCAGATTAATATTGCCACTGGCTGCTGTTCGTACCCAGAACGTGTCCTTTTTGCCTTCTTTTATCGAGATATACTGCATTGGCTTTCAACCTGTGCTGCAGTAGAATCATGAGATGTCGCCTGAGACTTTCCTTGTTCTGTTAGTGCAAGGCAGAGGGAAAACATCAAAAACATGAAATAAAACAAAATATTTCACAAAAATAATGACTGAGAACTTCATCATGACCATGTTCAAAAATGAGACATTCAAATTCGCTGGTCGGCAACTTTTATTCAAGAAAAATGAAAATAAAAAAACTCCAACAACCAACGCATGGATATGCTTTGCGTTAAAGCTTCGCAATGAACAAAATTATCCAAAAGCAAGTGTAATCGTTTTTTCAGAGCTGCATTTCCACGTATGCGCTCTGTCAACAAGCTGTTTTACGGACCATGGTCACTGCCAATGGGGGTAGACTCTGGCTCCACTGGAGCGGCATGAATGACACGGCCGTTTTCGAGCACGACAGAAAAGTCGGCGTCACGGACGGCCTCAACCCGGTGAGCAATGGTAATGACCGTGCTGTGCTGCAGCTCTTCGCGGAGGACCTCCTGGATCTGGAACGCCGTCTTCTTATCAATAGAAGCCGTGGCCTGGACGGTTAGCAATCACTCGCTACATGGTGACAAACGTCCGCCACGGAACTGAACTTACCTCGTCCAGAATGACAATGGGGCTGCGGCGCAAAACAGCCCGACCGAGGCCAATCAGCTGGCGCTGGCCCTGGCTCATGTTCTTTCCGCCACCGTCAACACGGCTGCTCAGCGTAAAGTCACTGGCGGCATCAGCCAGGACACGGCGGAGGACAAGCTCACACTCCTCGTCGGTGTGCTCGCCGACCGGGTCCAGGTTCTCGCGCAGGGAGCCGGGGAACAGCACAGGGTCCTGCGCGACGAAGCTGATGCGCTGGCGTAGTTTGTGCTTGTTGACAGTGGCGACGTTCATCGAGCCAATGTAGATGCTGCCCTGGGTTGTTTCGTTGTTGTCCGGCAGAATGGTGCCCAGCAACGCCAGCGCCAGCGTGCTCTTTCCTGACCCAGTACGGCCTGTGACGGCCACCGTGGAGCCGGCTGGGATGCGCATGTTGATCTCGCGCAGGCTGGGCTCGAGGTGCGGCGCGTAGCGGAAGGACGCATTGTCAAACACAATGTCGTCATTCGTCGTCGGCCAGGCCGCGGGCGGATCCACGTCGCCGACCGGCTCCTGGTCCAGGTCCAGCAGTTCCGTGACACGCTCCACAGAGACGAACTGCATCTGCAGCTCGCCGTACCGGCGGCACAGGACCTGCGTGGAGTTGACAAAGTACGCAGCAGACGTCAGGACGAAGGCAACGAGACCGCTGGACAGACCGGTTCCCAGAGCCGTCATGGTCAGGGCAAACGTCGAGAGCGCGGTCAGCGCATTAAAGCGCCACTGCAGCCACGCCTGCAAGGACCAGTAAAAATGGTCCATGCGCTGAAACGCATCGGTGGTGGCGATGATGCGCTCTTGGAAATGCGGCTGGACGCGGAAGGCACGGACGGTTGTCAAGCCTTCCAGGAGTGTGCCGAAGTTGGACATGAGAGGCGACAGCGAGACCATCTCGAGACGGCGCAGCGATTGAGACGCGGGCAAAAAGTAAAAGAAGATCAGGACAAAGGCCGACGTCATGAAGACGGCCATGACCAAGAAGGTCGGCGTGGCCGACGCAATGACCAAGATGGAGGAGACCCAGTTCAGCGCGAACCACGCACAGCGGTGGATCTGCTGGGCAATGGCTCCGTCAATTGTGCCAATGTCGGATGTGACGCGGTTCATGAGCCGGCCCACGGGAGTCACATCGAAAAACCGGAATGGCGCCGTGCTGACCCGCACCATGACTTGCTGGAACACCTGCTTGCCGGCCGTATATGTGATGGCAATCAAGATCAGGTCGCCAAGAGTACGGAATACGAGAGAGGACAGGGCCAAGACGGTGAACCAGAAAAGCCATGGCAAAACGTCACTTTCGGGGTTGGGCAGACCGAAATTCTTATCGGTCCACCCGGTGCTGTTCATAGTACCATGGTGGACAGCAACAGAGAGCATGTCATCATCGCCCTGCGCACCAGCAACGACAACTTGCATGGATGGTGAAAGGATGGACGATATCGATCTCTTCAAGACACTCGTCACGGCATCGCTTCCATATGCTTCACCCCAGATCTTGAGGAAGTAGAAGTACGCAATCTTGGAAATGCGGAAGCCGACAAAGCAGACAATGACAAGCGCCCACCAGTGGGCACCACCCGCCTTGATATAGCGCCAGTACACGGATAGCATGACACCGCCATGGACACGGTGCTCCTCTTCAATGAACTTGTTCTTGGCAACCTTGTCTTCATGGGACTTTGTATTTTCTGCCTCGCTCTCGGACGACGACGATGCAGCATCGTTGTCTGCGGACGAGCTCGCCTCGCTCTCCTCGGCAACGGTGACGAGTGTCGACGTAGCAGCAGATGCGTTGAGCGTCCGGCGGACTTGGTCGGCGTCAATTTTGGAGACAATCCCGTGCTCGTCGCTGACTTCGTAGATCTGGTCGGCATAGTCGGCAGCAAGATCCATGCGGTGGGTAACAAAGATGACGAGGCGGTTCTTCATGAGACCGGATGTCGCAAACAGTCGTTTCATGATGGATTCGGCCGTGTTGTGGTCCAGAGCGGCAATGGGATCGTCAAGGAGCAGGATGCGGGCGCGGCTGTAGATGGCACGGGCCAGAGCTACGCGAGCCTTTTGTCCACCAGACAAGCCAATGCCGTTCTCTCCAACATTAGACATGTCGCCGGCCTCAAACTCGGCAAAGTCGGGAAGTAGACAGCACGCTTCTATAACCCGGTTGTACCGCGTCTCGTCGTAAGGGAGACAGAAGAGAATGTTCTCACGAACGGTCATGCTCTGGAGCCACGGCGTCTGCGCACTGTAGCCAATGGTCTCCTTGGGAACGGAGCGCGTGCCGGCATGTTGGTCCATCTCACCAAGTAGGGTCATGAGCAAGGCCGTCTTGCCGGTACCGACCTTTCCGCAGATCACAGTCAGCCCCGGTCCGTCGGCGACAAAGTTCACTCTGGTAAGAATCGCTGTTTCTGCCGTGGGCCAAGCGAAAGCCGCATCCTCCATACCAATGTAGAGAGGGCCAGGCGGGCGAATGATGCCATCGACGAGAGCGCCTTCGGGAGCCTGCGTCAGCACGTCGCGCCCTGGCTCGTCGTCGATTCCTTCCTTGTCGGGCTCGGCCATAAAAGCCTCGATGCGGCGAATAGCAACATTGGCGTTGAGCATGACAGTAATGAGATCGGGCAGCTCGCGAAGACTTTGCTCGAGCAGGTTGAAGAGGTTTAGCGCAGGGAAGGCGATGTCAATGGTGAGAGGACGCTTCTCAACGACAGTGTAGGCGTAGAAGGCAGCCACGGGGAAGAAAGAGGCAGCCAGCTGGTTGATGATGGAGATGGCCTTCTGGATGAGGTTGGTAATAACCCGATAGTTGAGCTCCTTCTGCCGCGCTGTCAGGATGTTGGCCAGCCACTTGTCCTGCCAGTCGTACCACCGCAGATGACGGATCGATTCGATGAACTGCGACGTGACCTGGAGCTTGGTGTCGGTCACGGCACGACGGGCGAGCTCCCAATGGACGAGGACCTTCACAACGTAGACGTTTATGATTTGTGCGGCGACAATGACGAGGATGCCCAGAAGAGAGGCGGCGCCGAGCACATTCCATAGCAGGAAGATGGAGAGGACAAAGTTCAGGGGCTTCGTGAACAGCGTGGGGAACTCCCAGAAGCGCTGGGCCACCTCATAGACGTCATTGCGCATGAGATTGAGGATCTTGCCAGTCGATGCGGGGGCCGAGCCGCTGGCGACACTGTTGGCGATCTCGGTCATACCACCGCCACCTCCTGGCCCACGGGCACCACCACCACGGCCTCCACCTCCTCCACCACCACCGCCGCCACCACCGTGGGCAGTCAGGATTCTCGGACGGACGACAGCCGAATCCCGTCTGCGCCTGCCCTTTCCGCCCTTCTTGCCCTTGTCCGCTTCTGTCAGACCAGGGAAGGTGAAGGCCTTCCGGCGCAGTGTTTTCTCGTAGATCATGGTGATGAGCTCGCCACGAGAGCGTTCATAGCAGCGGCGGGTGAACCACAAGGAGAAGACACCGGCCTGGGCCCGGGCAATGTTTATGATACAAATGAACACGGCGTACACAGAGGCCACACGGACGCTGGCATGTGGACCCTCCATGGACGCGAGCAGCAGCTTCAAAAGAATGATGGGAAGCATCGATAGCATCGAGTCGAGGACACCGAGGAGCGACGTAATGATGAGGTCGGGTGTGTTGA